ACCCCACCCCCCACCCCCCCAGCTAGGTGGGGGGCCCCACGGGGGGCCCCCCATCTAAGAAGGAGAGAGGAAGAGGGTGAGGGTTTGCCTTCTTATAGATTGAAACATGAAAATTAAAAGCAAAAGAAAGAAGACGGCAGCATATTGTACAACGAGCAGCAGCAGCAGCAGCAGCAACAGCAGCACCAACCCTTCGTGCTGCTGCTGCCTGTCTCCTCCAGCTCGGGGCTGTGAGCGGGACGGAGCCCTGCATTGCTGCTGCAGTTGTTGGGGTGTATCTGCTGCTGCTGATGCATCTGAATAATGTTTCTTCTTATTTTTTGTCTATAAATTGTCTGCTTAAATACCTTTTGGGGGGCTTCTATAAAACTTCTCTGCTGCAGCAGCAATGTGTATGCGCCCCAGGTGCTGCTGCGCGGGGGCCGTCGTTGGCCCTGTCTCTGCTGTCTCCTCCCTGTCTCCTTCTTGTCTCCTGCTGCTCCTCCTCTGTAAACTGTCTTTTTCCTTTAATACTTAGGGCCCCCAACTCAAGGGGCCCCCCTCCCACTCTCCACTACGCAGCGACAGCACTCTCGGGGGCCACCACCTCGCACGGCCCTTGCTGCTGCTGCTGCTGCTCGTGCAGCAGCTGCTGCAGCAGCAGCCGTTTATGCCGGGCACTGCCCCCCAAAGCCTCAGGGCCCTCCACTGCAATGGCCTCTCCCCAGCTCAGCTTAGAGAAGACAGGCGGCCAGCAGCAGCAGCAGCAGCAGCAGCAACAGCAGCGCCGTTGCCTCTTGTGCACGCCATCTGCCAGCAGGGGGGCCCCTCCCCAGCGTGTGGGGCCCGGCATCAGGTGGGTCCCCTCCCCACAGACGCGCAGCAGCAGCTGCGGCAGCAGCTGCAACAGCAGCTGCAGCAGCAGCTGCACGCGACGCAGGACAAGCCGTGGGGTGAACCAGGTGCTTCCATGCCTCACCCACATTCTTCTTCTGTCTTTACTGGGGGGCCCCTGGGGGCTCCAGGGTTTGCTCTGCCTCTAGGGGCCCCCAGCAGCACCCGTAGCACTTCAGGGGGTCACGGGGTCCCGGGGGCCCCCAGGGGCCCCAAAGGGCTTCAGTCTTCTTTTAAAGTTGTCTTAAAGCAGCAGCAGGGCCCCTTTAAAGCCCTCAGCAGCGCAATGGTTCAGAGCGCCACGAGGCAGCAGCCTCGGCAGCCGCCGCAGCAAGGGGTGGGGGGCCCCCGGGGCCCCTCGGTTGGGGCCCCGTCTGCATATCGTTGTCTTCACTTTATATCTGCTGCTGCCTCCACTACAAAGCCATGGGGGCCCCTAGGCCGGAAGCATCACCATAGCAGCGCAGCACGCGCTACGCAAATCGGCCGGGGGCCCCCAGAGGGACCCCCCGGGGGCCCCCAAAGACCCCCAAACGCAGCAACAACAGCAGCAGCAGCAACACCAGCAACAACGAATGTACCAGGCCCCAGGGGCCTGCACACGCAGCGTGGCTGTAGGGGCTTCTTTAGGAGGCCCCTGGAAAACAACCGAAGGGTTCGATCCTGGTGGCCGAGGGGCCCCAGCGGAAGGGGGCTCCCAGCAGCAGCAACGGCAGCAGCAGCAGCAGCAGCTGCTGCTGCTGCTGCTGTAGCAGCAGATGCCAACTCCCCCTCAGGAGAGAACATAGAGAGAGCGCAGCGCCCAGAGAGCCTCCCGCTTCCTGCTGCAGCGCTTGCAGGTCCTCGTGGCTGCAGCAAAAGCAATAGCAGCAGCCGCAGCAGAAGCAGAAGCAGAAGAGGAGCTCTGTTAGCCAGGGCCTCTTCAAAGCCCTTGCCTGCTGCAGTTGCTGCTTCTTCAAGGGGACCTGTGATTGCGCGGCGGGCCTGCAGCTCCTGCATTAAGACGGCCCAGGGGAGTTGCTTCCCGCCGGCAGCAGCAGCAGCAGCAGGAGCAGCAGCAGGTGCAGCGGGAAGTGCAGCAGGAACAGGAGCAGACACAGCAGCAGCGACGACAGTGGTCGGTCAGGCAGCAGCAGCAGCAGTATCCCTTCCCTGTACAGCGGGGGGGGGACCTGCAGATACACCGCAGCGCCTCCCGGCCCCCACGCGCAGCTATCAGCCTCAGCAACGAACAGGCAACGAAGGAGGAGGTGAGCAGACACCCCAAGGTCTCCTCCTTGAAGAGCGTATGCAAACACCGGGTGCAGCAAGCAAGGGCCTCTTTCTACCGAGAGAGGGGCCCCCAGCCCAGGTAGGGCAGCAGCAGCAGCAAGCCCCAAGAGATGTCTCTTCGGAAAGCAGAAGTCCTACACCGCATGCAGCAGCAGGTGTCTCTGTTGCAGCGACACGCGCTGCTGCTGTCGCCAAGGCTGCTGCTGCTGTTGCTGCAGCAGCACAGGCAGAAGTGGAAGCTGCTGCTGCTGTTGCTGCTTGGGGAGACAGCAGGAAGTGCGCCCCTAGCTGCAGCACTCTAACAACAAATGAGCAGCGGCGGGAGCAGCTGGTGCTGATATTAAGGCTGCTGCTGCTGCTGCCGCCTGAGCTGCAGCATGCCATTCAAGCCCGTCTCTTTATGGTGCAGCAGCTGCAGCAGCAGCAGCAGCAGCACGGCTGGGGATTCAGGAGCTCGCACCCCTGGCCGAAGAGAGCAGCAACAAGCGCAGACATACCAGTGACGTTGATGGCCTCAGGCGTCGTAAAAAACCCCTGGATGCAGCAGCAGCAGCAGCAGCATGCTGCAGCAACAGCAGCAGCAGCAGCAGCTGTTGCTGCGGCTTGCCCTTCACCGGCAGCACCCCACTCGTTCAAGGTTCGAGATAGCATGCGGCAGCCTAATGGCTGCAGCAGCAAGTCTGTAGGCGCGGCGTTGAAGTTCCCCCAAAGCTGCGGGCAGCAGCAGGACCACGCCCAGCTGCAGCAGGATACCCCACAGCAGCAGCAACAGCAGCAGCAGCAACAGCAGCACCAGCAACAACAGTTGCTGCGGCAACAGAGCGCAGCTAACTCCACAGTTAATGGGTTGTTTATGTCTGCCACGCTGCAGGCGTCTGCTGTGCTGCAGCTTACCCCTGGGCGGCATGGGGGGGACAGGGCTGGAGCTCCCGCAGCAGCAGCAGCAGCAGCAGCAGCAGGGAGCGCTGCTGTGGTGTGTCCCTCACTTAGTTGCAAGATGTCTAGCTGCAGGTGCCGCAACAGCGCGGCTGCAGGACTGGCGCATTGCCCTGTCTCCTTCCCAGTTCACGGGCGCAGCTCTTTGCTACAGCAGCAGCAGCAGCAGCAGCAGCAGGAGGTGCAACAGCAGCAGCCTACGGGCGAAGGTGGGGGGGCCTCCTGCTGCAGCACCTGCACAGGGGCAGTCCCTGCGTCGTGCCGCTGTCTCCATCGACTAGTCTCCTCAACTCAAGGGGCAGGGGCTTTATTAATAGTTGGGGGAGGGAGGGGTTCAGGTGTCTCCTCATGGGGTGGGGGTGCATGCAGGTGCTGCAGCGTAGCAACAGCAGCTGCTGCTATCGCTGCCAGCAGCAGCAACTGCTGCGGAAACAGCATGCAGCAGCAACAGCAACACCACCACCATCAGACACCTGCTGCAGCAGCAGCTGCTGCTGTTGCTGCAGCAGCAGCAGCTGCTGCTGCTGCTGCTGGGGGACCCCGGTCCCAGCGTGGCAGCGCCCCGCTGCTGTGCTACTACTCTACAGCCAGCCAACTAACGGCTTCTAATTCAGGGAGACTTCCCCTCTCACGAGCAGCAGAGTGCTGCCGCATCAGTCACAAGAGCTGCTGCACCAACGGCTCCTCCCTGGGGCTGCAGCAGCAGCTCCAGCAGCAGCAGCACCAGCAGCAGCAGCACCAGCAGCAGCAGTTGATGAGAGAACAAGGTAATCCGGCTGCAGCAGCAGATGCTTCTGCTGCTGCTGCTGCTGCTCCAGGGCCTAGCAGCACTCTAGGCAGCGGAGTAGAAGGGGCCCCTTGTTTCTCAGGCCAGCTGCAGTCGCCCTTGTGGTGCAGGGCGCAGCAGCAGAGGCAGCAGCAGCAGCAACAACAACAACAACAGCAGAGGGCCTGCAACGCAGCAGCAGCGCAGGCATCCCAGCCCGTGGGAGTTTGCCAAGGTCCGTCTGGGGGCGGCTGCTGCAGCGGCAGCAGCTGCAGCAGCAGCAGCAGCAGCAAGATCTGCAGCAGCAGCTACTGCAGCTCGCGGTTGGTGAAGCAAGGGCTGCTGCATATGCGCCTCTCTTCGATGCCATCTATCCTGAGGCCTGAAGTCCATTTAAAGGGTTCTGAAGCAGCAGCAGATTTGATGAATATAAGGGGCCCCCAAGGCTTGCTGCGTGCTGCAGTAAGAGGCAGGGAAGTAGGGCCCTGGGCCTTCTCCTTCCCTCCCCACACTGACAGCAGCACGGCACGCAGCAGCAGCACCAGCAGCAGCAACAGCAGCACCAGCAGCAGCAACAGCAGCAGCAGCACAAGCAGCACAAGCAGCAGCAGCACTATTAGCGATGGCGACATAAGCACAACACCGCAAGGCGCGGAAGCAGACTCAGAGGAGACAGAGGAAAAACAGCAGAGTGAAGAGATGGAGACAACACCAACTGAAGCTTTTGCTGCTTCGCCGCCGCCGCCGCCGCCGCCGCAGCAGCAGCAGCAGCAGCAGGAGGGCGCAGCAGCAACAGCAGTTGCTGCTGCGGCTGCTGCAGTAGTAGCTGCTGCTGCTGTGTCCCAAGGGTCCTCGCCGCTGCAGCAACTAGAGAGCGAGCAGCTACCTCGGCTGTTAGCGGGGGCGCCGCTGTCTCCTGGGGAAGACAGGTGTCTGTCTCCTGCTTCTGTCTCTCTACCTGCTTTGGAGAGTGCAGTCTGCTCCGGTGCTGCTGCTGTCTCTCCGGCTGCTGCTGTAACTGCGGCTGCTACCCCTTCTGCTGCTGCTGCTGTCTCTTCTGATGCAGCAGAGGAGTCCCCCTTGAAGGCCGAGAAGACAGAAGACGTGCAGCTGTCTCCTGTCCCCTGGGACCCTGATGAGGGGCCTCTTTTATCGTCAGCAGAGCCACTGCCGCGGTGTCTTCTGTCTCCTTTGCCAGCGCTGCATGCATTGTGCAGCAGCAACAGCAGCACAGCAGCAAAGGGATTGTTTAACCCCACCAGTCTCCTCTACAACTCTGGAGACCCCAGGAGATACAACGGGCCCCTAATAGACAGCGCAGTTGTCTCCTTTGAGGCAATGGCAGCATGTGCTGCGGGGGCCCCCCTGGTGGGGAGGGGCCCCCCTGAAGCTGTCTCTGCAAAGAAAGGCAAAGAGAAAGCCAATGTGCTTCAGCAGCATCAGCAGCAGCAGCAGCAGCACCAGCAGCACCAGCAACACCAGCAGCACCAGCAGCAGCAGAGGGTTTCGGCGCTTCTGGAGCTGCGGCTGCTGCAGCCAGAATTGCGTACGATGGCCTCTGACGGCTCGTTGAAGCAGCAGCAGCAAGGGAGACGCTGCCCTAGGTCTTGTCCAAATTTGCAGCAGCAGCAGCAGCAGCAGGGTTCATTAGCAGCAGCAGCTGCAGCAGCAGCAGCAGCTGACAAGCTGATGCTGGATGGGCTTGTTGCGGGTGTCTCCTGGGTTTGCAAGACACCGAGGAAACGAAGGAAGCCCCTCTTGCCTTTGAATTGCTGCACTTCTTCTTCTTCTGCTTTCTCTTATTCTGGGGGTATGTTTCCCCCAGCTAGCCTCAATGCCTTGCAGCAGCAGGGGCCCCCGCGCTTTGCTAATGAGCCGCTGCACTGCGCAGCCCCTGCAGTGTCTCCCCTAATAGGGGCCCCCTCGCCTTTAAGGAGGTCGGGGAGGCCCCCGGGGGCCCCTCCCCATACACTGCAGCAAACGCAGCAGCAAACGCGCCGCTGCTGCTGGGAGCAAACCGAAGACGAAGGAGGCCTTGAGGAGACAACAGAATTAGTGGATGGAGACACAAGAAATGAAGAGACAGAAACGAGGGGAGCAACCGCGCAAGAGGAAAAGACAGTCCGTTGCCGATACTCTACGGAGACGGGCCTTGGGGGCAGGCAGGTGCTACATTCAGCTGCAGCACGCCAGCGGCAATATGCAGCAGCAGCAGCAGCAGCGGAAGAGCGTGCTGCAGCAGCTGCAGCTCGAGAAAGAGCAGCAGCAGCAACAACAGCGGGAGAACGTGCTGCAGCACCAGCAGCAGTGGGAGAAGGTGCTGCAACAAGAGCAGCAGCAGCAGAAACAGTGGGAGAACGTGCTGCAGCAACAGCAACAGCAACAGCAGCAGCAACTCGTATCGAAGGGCCCGATGAGGAGGGCCAGTATGAAGAGGAGTATGATTCGCTAGAGACGTGGGCGCCTCTGCCGGGTGCAGATTGGCGCCTAAGCCATGTAGGAGAGACTCTAAAGCAGCTGTCTCCTTATCTGCTGGGCCCCTCAGCGAGTGACGGGCCCCGGGTGGAGACAGCAGAGTCCCTCTTTAAAGCCATGACTAGCTGTCTTGGAGAGAGGCCTGCAGCAGCAAGAAGAGCAGCGCATTTTCTCGCCTCTCTTGCTGCACCTCAAGGAGATGTGCAGCGCCAAAGCTCAGCTAAGAAAGCGGGAGGGGGGCCTGAGGGCCCCCCCCAAGGGGGCCCCTTGAGGCCCCCCAGCAAGGGCCCCCAGAGGCCCCCCACCAAGGGCCCCCAGAGGTCCCCCAGCAAGGGCCCCCAGAGGCATCCCAGCAACGACGCCCAGAGGCCCTTAAGTAAGAGGTCCCCCAAAGAGGAGGAGGAGGAAGGAGAGGGGCCCCCTGACCTCCTGTCTCTCTTTGCGTTTGCTGGCATCGACGCTGAACACTGTCTCCCGGGGGGCCCCACAGAGGTGCTAAGGAAGGGAGTGGAGGCCCAGAGGGCCCTGAGACATCAGCAGCAGCAGCTGTGGAGGAGTGTCTCCTTGCGTGCTGCTCGTCTGCTAGCAGCAGGAGACTCTGCTGCTGCTGTGGGGGCCCATTCTGCAGCAATTCAGCAACTCTGCCACAGCGCGCTGCAGCGGGCAGTGCTGTCGCGGCGAGCCTTCGGGGCCTTAGCGGTGGAGGACGAGAGGCGGGTGCGGCTTCTTCGCCGCTATGCAGCAGTAGCAACAGCAGCAGGAGCAGGAGCGGAGTTGCACCCGGCCTCGCATGCGCAACAGCAACAGGCGCATGCGCCCCCCGTCCCCGAGGAGCAGACGGGGGAGAGGCAGCAGGTAGCAGGGGGGGCCCCCTTAAACACGTCTGCAGATTCCTCTGCTGCTGCCGGAGTGCTGTCAGAGGGCCCCTCTGTGCCCGAGCTACTGCTGCTGCTAAGCGACACGAACGGCGTGAGTCAGCGCGAGTCTTCTGTGGGCCGCGCGGCCGAAGCTTCTCGTGATGCAGCAGCAGCAGCAGCAACAGCAACAGCAGCAGCAGCAGCAGCAGACCGCCTCGCCAGCGAAGCAGCGGGAGCCACAACAGCAAGCTGGGGCTCGCAGGCCGCGCAGCATATGGTGGGGCCTCACTTGAAACTAACGGGAGTAAGTGCTGCTTCTTGTTGTTGCGTCTTGTTGCTGCTTCTTGCTGCTGCTTTTCGTTGCTGCTTCTTGTCTTAGTACAGATTTTCTTTTAATCCATCAGATACAACAGGAGCCACGAAGGTCACAGAGTTGCTGCGAGTAGCAGCAAACTACTGCTGGCAGCAGCACACTGCTGCTAGCAGCAGCACGCTGGTGCTAGTTGCAGCAAACTGTTACTAGCAGCAGCCACATGGTAGAGGGTCTCAGATGGAGGAAGAGGAGGAAGAGAGAAAAGAAGCATCAGATTTATTTTTGAATTAGGGTTGCAAGCCACTGCCTACAAGACTTCCCTCTGGTGCTGCGTTTATGTTCAGGATGCGGTGCTGGGGTTCGAACGCAACCAGCAGACAGTCGCCGGGTTATTAAATGATTTTGCTGCCTGGGAATTCAGTTGTGCAGCAAATAATGAGGAGGAAGTGGCGTTCTTGCAGCAGCTGCAGCGGCAATATGCAGAGGCGACGGCTGCAGGTGAGATGTTGATGATTAGCAGCAACACCAGCTGTCTACTAGTAGCCCAAAGAGACAACAAAAATTGCCCTTGCACTGGTATAAATGCTTGCACAGACATACACAGAGGGGCAGATAGAGACAGATAAAGACGGAAGAGAGAGACAGAGAGAGAAAGACAGAGACATAGTGTTGGGGAGACAACAGCTGCATGCATGCAGGTGGTTCTGAACTTCCCCTGGAGAAGTTTCTGCTGCAGAAAAGAGAAGAAGCGCTCAAGCGTCTACCGCCAGAGTTGGTGAGCCAGATTGTAGAGTTAATGCAACTTAGTATAGTATATAATATGATAAAATACAATATTATTTAATGTATAGGATATCATATGCTACGACACAATAATAACGTTATGAAATACAATATAGCATAACAGAATATCCGTAGAATAAAATAATAATACAATAGGCCAACACTTTGCTCCTGGCCCCCTTGCACTCTGTAGTGTATAGACACCGCAGAAGCCACAACCGAGGGGCCCCCAGAAGGGGGGCCCTCAAAAGCGGGGTCCCTGCCAAAGGGGGGTCCCCTTGGGGCCTCCATGCGCAAGATAACAAGCCAGCAGGTATCCCCTTTTGCTCTTGTCGCAGGCATCAGCGGAGCAGGTCAGGGCAATACTGCAGCCTGCCGCACAACATGCGGCAGCGCTTCTGCCCCCTATCGAAGCTTTGCTTCAGAAGCAGGTGATGCAGCTGCTGGTGCTGCTGCTGCATTTGCGTCTTACTGTTGCAGCTTGTCAAGCATGCAGTTCAAGCTCTTCTGCTGCTGTTGTTGTTTCTGTGGTTGTTTTGGTTTTATAGTTTGTTTTGTTGTTACTGTTATTTTGTTCTTTGTTTTTGTTGTTGACTGATACTTACGCGTTGCATAGTTTAAAGCACTATCCCACCCCATCATTTCGTTGCCTCTTGTGGTGAATAATAGCCTTTCCAGAGTTCGAGGTGCAGATTACTAATATTATATTATTATAAAGCAGGCGATGGTGTATGTCTCTCTGAGTTTTGCATGCATGTGCCCATGATCAGACCCAACGGTATTTCGTGTATTTCACTCGGCCTGTATATTTGCATTGCATCTTCTTTGCGTTTTCTTTGCTGACCAGGTTACCACCTCTGCGGATCTACTGATGGGAACCCCCCCAGCTCTCCAACGCGTCTTAAATTTGTGCAAGTCTGACCATCTAGCTAGTTGGTCAGCAGCTATGATAATGAGGCTATGCAGCAGCAACGTCGAGGGCCCCTGGGGGGCCCCCATGACGGAAGAGGAGAGCTCGCAAAGCGAAGAAGCTGATGCATCCGGGGCCCTCGAAGACCGGCTCGAAGAAATCAATAATGTGCTTAAGACCGAGCTGAAGAAGATCCAAGATGAATGCGCTAAGGCGCTGAAAGATGCAACAGAATTGATGCAAGACGTGATGCCAGTGGAATTTAAACGCCTCTTTTAGCCTCCGTGAAGACATATACATAAATAATATTCATATATTTATATTTATACTTGTGTATTTACTAGAGCGTTTCTTCAGATGAGCAATGCATGCATCATCTGACTGGAAGAAAGCCCCCAGCATTGTTGCCCTTGTACTTAGACGCAACTAATGCTTTTTTTGGGGTTGTTCTATAAGGGACAGAAATCTGTTACTCCAGCCTGTAGCGGAGCCGCATCTGCAATGAAACCAGGTGAACGCTAGGGGGGTTTATCTTCTATTTTTGTCCTAAGTTTGCCGGCGCAGCAGCCGGCATCTGCGATAGGCGCAGCAGCATGTGCGCCTGCATGCACTTTATTTTGCGTATACGCGTAAACCAAATCACATGCGACGCGTAGCGCGCCAAAGAGAACGCATGCACGCAAGCGCCCTCTTAGCTACTTCAGAGGGGCCTCGCCTCCACGCGAAGGGCTCGTCCTTCAAACTGCTGCCTGTGGTTTGTCTCCACTCTCCAACACCCCGCGCTGCTGCAGCCCTCTCCAGTCTCTGCAGCTGCATGCACGCAAAGCATAGCCTAACGTCAAGCATGCATGAATGCTTGCATGCAAAAATGCGGGCATGCACAGAGCTGCGCGGAAGGAAGCATTGCTAAGTTACTGCTACAAGCTGCGTCTGTGCGGCATACTCTTTTGTAGTTTATTTGCAACTGCAAGTAGTGAAATGAAGAGGAAGTTTTAAAAGGGCGAAGAGGTGAGAAGCTTTCTTTGTTCGTCGCTGCCAGTCCCTGGGCCACTAACAGTGCAGCCAAATCCCTTTTAAAGAAAAGCCCACTACGGATTCTTACATCTGCTCGAATGAAACCAACATCTGCTTCTACAGGAACAAAATATACCCTCCTCCCTAGGAGGATCCGCCTTAGAGCTTCAATACAAAGAGGGGGCCTCTCACTGGAGTCATTGGGAACGCTCGGGGCCCCCGTCACCGGTGGGGGCTCTCGGGGCTGTATAGACCCTGCAGCAGCAACTGAGAGGCTCTCTGGGCCGGGTTTGTTGAGCAGCAAATCCACAGTGTCTAGACGGACCGCTATGCACTCGCGCACTCGACGAGAGCGAAATAAGGGTTGCAGGGGCAGCAGAGGGAAAAAAATATGTAAAAGAGGAACGTGGTTTACATATATGTGGCCTGATCACACACAACGTCCATAGACGTGAAGCGCGGTGAATATACATATTATATGCATTCATGTATACATATATATGGATGCACATAATATGTATTAATATAATATGTATATTTATATATATATGTTTAGATATGCTTGTATGCTCTGATATGCATTTAGGCTGGCCTGTACAGGAGAGCCTACAGCACGCGCGTGTCGTCACTTGCCCTGTGGCCCGACGCCGAAGACAATGCCAATCAGTTGTTTGCGCCTCTCATATACAGTCTGCGGAATATCCTCCTGTCGTTTAATTCGATTGATCTGTACGTACAATAGCGAGACAGCCTAAGCTGCTACTGACCGCAGTCTTCCCCTTCGGCTTAAGCAAATTCGCCGGAGGTTCCCGCAACCTACCCTATAATCAGGTGTAGCCTTCTTTAGAAAGATAAGAAGGAATATGAAGAGGGAGTAAAGGGATGCCGAAATCCAACGACGATTCTCATCTACGGCATTTCGCAGTTGATCCCAAAATAAGGATGACTGTAAAGGATGCGACGGCAGATCTTCCGCACGGCCTTCAGATCCCTCATGTCCGCTCACCTGCATTTATCTCGAAAGCGTGTAAAGTAATACTTACTATGCATGCAGGGGAAGGAGTGAAGAAGCACTCCTTCGTGGACAGGAAAGGAACCCCTGTTGCCGCTCGTAAATGTCGACGAGCCAACAGCGATCTTCCGTGTTTCCTCAGCAAAACTCCTAGAAAACCCCTAGCAGCAGCCTAAAATAATGTTATGTATGAATGCTTGAACACAAACGTGAAACGTTGAAAGGTGTCTCAAGAAGAGGCTGCATTCGCCAAGACCTCGCGCTGTATTTACTGCATGCACGGACTGCCAAGGCTCAAGCGACGGTGCCGCTGAGATCTGTAGAGGCGAAAGCTTAGATTACCAGCGAAGGTAATATCACATTATTATTACTAGTTTTCTGCAGGAGGTTATAATGGCTATGCTTAGCCTCACGGCTTGTCTTATTATCCTACCACTCGTAAGAAATGTTAGATTGAAGTCGGCTGCGCAGTCCAAGCTCTCCTATAGTGCAGAGAAACCAAAGCCAACCGGAGCACCACATCCATTGACCCTGCAAGTTTGTTGCCAAGCAGGTTTGTTTTCTAATGATGAATTCATTATGACGAGGTTTCACGTTCCCTAACAGCTCATTGCTGCACCCGTTGGATTTTCAAGATGATTGGCAAGCTAGCGAGCCTATCCCGATCGACATATTCTACAAAGTCCCTGGTGCGCTGGCATCCGGTTTGTCTTATTGCATATGGCGTTCTAGGGGGGAACAAAACAACTTTAGTCAATGGGGAAGGCGACCTACAAAGAGCACTAGAACGCGCTAATGATGCTGCAAGTGCGTGAAATACCAGGATTACGCAATACTCTGCCTGGAAAATGAATTCTGTGGGAATTCGAAGTGCTTTTTGCTCAGGTACTGCAGTCTTGTTTCCTCGCTGCTTCAGGGATCACGCCTTTTGTTCTTAGCGTCAGAAGGAAATGAGACGTGAATTGCAAGACAAGGTTGGCTGCACTCATCCTTGTTCGTTAGACGGAAACGGTTTTATATTCATGGTACTTCAGGAATACATCCGACAACAAATTGGGTCTAGACTGTCTAATGCAAGAAAAACGCTGAGCACCGCACGACACTGAAATGCTTGCCAGCCTCATCGGCATTTTAGGGAGCAGCTTCCATCACCAAATCAGCGCGTTGTTCCAGAGATTTAATGCCCTTTTCGCGTCTACCGCTTTGCCGAATGTATTGCTTGAATACCTTGAACGTCGACAGTATCTTCTTCACGTAGCAGAACTGCATTGTATAGGCCCGTCTTTGTTTGGATGGCTTTATTATTGAGGCTGTAGGATACCCCGGTTGACAAAGAAAAACTGAAGCTTTCTACGGATGCATCCTCTGAGACTGCATTTCAGTCTTCCCTGAGTTCTCACCTTTCCTTTTCTACAAAGGAATGCTTTTCGCTAACTAGTAAAATAGTAAAATGCGGGAATATGAGGGGGGTCCCTCTATTACGAGTGTTAACCTTGTGCCACACCCAGGTCTGATGCCTTCTGTGGAGGTTGTCTGCAGCGTAGGGGGGCCGCTTAACTGGATTTGTGAGGAGCGTATTAAGCTGCAACACCGGCAGTTTTAAGTATATCTAAGAAGTGTCAAATTCAACACGTCTTTATGCAAAATTCACGAGGGCGAGAGTGCGAGTGAATGAAATGCATAACTCCCGTAGCCCAGTGCTCCAACATGCAGCGTATGCGGCCACTTTCCAAAGCTTGTCTAAAAGCCTCCCATGGGGTCCGTGCATTTCTTTGCTGGGACTTCCATTACAAGGAGAGAGTGTGTGACGATAGTCTTATTTGTCTAAGCCGAGGACTGTGGTGGATTGCAGTAAAGGCAAGGTAGATGCTACAATTATATATAAACTATAGTATCTTAACTACAGCAAACCATGCATAATGCAAAGTAGAAGTGCATGCTTCATCGTTGCGCAGAACAAGCTACACAGTAAGCCTGGCGGCATCTCCTGATACAAGGTAACCCCTAATGCTAACATATCTAGGCCTCGTTTCAATGTATGGACTAACACCGTAGACAATTGTTTAACACCTGCTTGGCCGTCAGTTACCAACCTGCAAGGGAGGAGGAATTCATGCAGCAAATCCAGACCGGCCACCGTACACAGTTCACGAATATATCCGCGTCTCTGGCGCAGGCGAAGAAAAGCTAAAGCAACAGAGCCACATATCAAAAGAGCAAAAAAAAGAAGTAACGGAAATTGTTGGTGGGAAAGTCAACAGGGGGGTGAAGCAGCTGGCCGCCACAGCTTTCTAGTCTTGGACGGCGTCACTGCGAAAACTCTCCATCCCGCCTCATCCTTGAGAAAACTGCGCGCAAGATTAAGATGCTCTAGAATTAGGAGTGTGTGTTCTTTTGAACAAGTGGCGTTTTAGGGGTTGCTCGTTTGCCAGTTTCCCTGCCTCACTTGGACAGTGATCTTGGCTGCGGTCAAAAATTCTTCTTGGTGGCCTTGGGCTGGGAATGCCAACAACTACTCAGGTAGCATGCAACGGGCTCAAATGCGATTTTGTTGAGTGTAGCTCTTATTTTTGAATACGATTTTGTTGAATTTTTTAGGAGACGAAAGAAGGCTGACACCATGGTGGTGATGTCCTGCACGGAGCCCGGCCGACGCCGTGCTTCAACCGTCTGAACCTGACCCGTGCAATGCAGGCAATACCCTAGGCTGTTTCCTCAGTCAAGAGTTCTTGTCTCCGTATTTGAAAGTGCAAGTGTTTCAACGTTTCAAGCTGATGGACGGACTATATCAGCTTTAGTTCGTCGCGACGCCTGGGCTCCATCCCTCCGCTGGCGCCGAAGCAGCAGCAGAAGCGAGGAGCCTTCGTTCTTGTGCAGTGCTCCCCTTCCTCAATTAAAAGGTGTTGGACCAACTTTTGCTGCAGAGTCTCCCTAAGTAGATCCCTAAAGTCGCTGGTTGCGCTTCAGATTGCCAAGTCCAGCCGCCATGGGCAACTCGCCTTCTTCGGTGGCACAGCCGCCGATTCTGGAAAGCGAACTGACAACACCGTCTTTGCAGCGTCATTCTCACCCTTGCGAAGACAGCTGTGCCTATCTCGTAGCAGCTCCTCGCTCCCAGGGTACACATGTTCCTGACTCGTACACGTTGGATGTATCGTCAGACGCCACACTTTGCTGCAGCCGGACACCGCGTTCTGGGTCTGTTTCCTTCGTATCCAGGTACGCTCAAGAATGTACACCATATCGAGCAACCATAGCAGTCGAGTAATGCACCGAAAATGGCAACCAATGCTGCGTTTGATATTCTACTTTCCCCCGCAGGGAGGAGGCTCTGGTGAAGGCGCGCTACTACAAGGAGCGGAATCCTGAACTAGCTAAACAGGCTTACCTCTTTGCTCTAGGCCTCCAGCCTGCCAACTTCCCTGGAAAGCTGCGAAATGCCGAAGGATTTAACGAAGGCGGAAGCTGCGGCTGCTCGTTTGTGCGGTGCAACATTCCCCAGCCTGTCGGTTCATGCGGGACTTCTGACCAGTTTAGTCACTCCACGGTTCATGAGTGTGGGAATGAAGAGCCCATGCAGAAAATGCGCAGTGCAGAGTTTGCGTCAACCGCCTTCACCAGCGGCAACGTATCTCGCCTGCACACGGACGACCTCGATGAGCTCGTGGTGAACAACCCGGCGGCCAAAAGGCTACACATAGGCGGCATCTCCGCCTACACAACAGGAAAGGAAGGAATTTGTCAGCTTGATGACAGCGACTTTAGGGCTGAGATCCATGCGGAACTTGCACAGCTGTACCTCAGTTGCGGGGAGCCTCGCAAAGCCATGGAGTGCTACCAATGCGCAGCGATGCTCGCGCCGCATCAATTGGCTTACGCATACAGAAGAGGAGTTGTTCTTCACCAGGTTGGTGAGCGCGATAGGGCAATATCTTGCTTCCGAGAGGTCCTTCAGAACGACTCTACTTACAAACCCGCTATTTTCAACTTGGGTGTTTGTCTGGCTGAGGACCCAGCAACACGTTCAGAGGCTCTGGGGACATTCCAGCACTTGCTTTCTATTGACCCGAACAATGAAAATGTAAGTATGATCTCTTGAAGCCTTCCACTGTAGCTACTCGTTAAACAGGTTTTGTTAGTGCGCTGATGTGTGCGATTCTGTACCTAGTGCACGGAAGATCATTGCATGTTTCTTTGCTTTTCTGAAGGTCCTGGATATTATCGCCGACATCCACGAGCAAGAGGGGCGCGTGGCAGAAGCCTATGCCGTGAAGCAGCGCGTTGTCACACTTGACCCTTCAAACTTCCGAGCAGGGAGAGACCTGGCGAGGCTGGAGTCGACTCTTCTGGATCGTGGAGGTATTCCTGGGTATGTTACGCTGAACTAAAAGAGGCATTAACGCACCACCATGAACGACAGGACTGAGTGGTGGCTACATCTGTTCGTCTTGACGGCGGCTTCTACTCCTACATTGCAGCAGTTCGGCGTAGTGGTGATCATCGCTACGCATGCCACCTGCCGCTTCGCGGGGGGCAAGCATACGCTTGTGGCTTTTGTTCAAAGCCCTACAAAAGAAACTATCGAGTTTCAATTCAAAGCAGTCCGCTGGCAGGCCCTGTCAGGTAAAGTATTTTAATGCTATCGAGGGCTTGCGCGGCCTACTTTGCATGCACGGGGCGGAATTGGCTGCGTCTGCTTGGTAGTGAGGCGGATCCCTCCAAGGGTCAAATCGCATATTTCTGCCGCATTCTTCGTCATGGCAAGCTCCAATGGCTAAGGGTGACTAACCCATCGTGTCGTCAAGAGAAACATGGGGGGCTCTAAGAATGAATGGAAAAGAATCAATGGGTTGTGGGACGTGTTGCGAGGGGTTTTTTGTGTCTTTACCTTCGTCCCATTTGGAGAAGACGGAAGCTCATTGGGAACAGTTCCGCTTTACAGCGAAAATTGTCTCACTTGCTCCCAGACAGATTTGTTGGTGTTCGCATGCTTAGGGAGGGGACAGCTGTAAAACAAACAACTGAATGAAAGAATATTTGACAACCTACATGCATCCAAACTCGCCTATTTGCGCACTTTCTCACTGCGCTTGACCAGAATTTTATGCCTAAGTTCATTAAGAGGAGCAGAAGGACCGCTTGCATGCTTCGTTTAGAGTAGAAATAATTCTGGATAGGCGTGAAGTGCACGCGAGAACAACAGCTCTGTCTATAGTGCCGGTGAGACAGGTGGCAACAGGCAACATGCAGAGAAAGCACCGAAGACGTTGAGCCTCACCACATATATTTTAGTAGAATATACCGACCCAATGCAGCAGCAAAAACCTCTTCTGCCCCAGTACTTGTTATATTCTATCACTGGGGGTCCCCGTATCCATATTTAGGGGTTCAACGGATATCCGCCTGTCACAGCACATAACAGAAGATTTGTAGATCACGACAACTATCCGATCTTGTTATTGTTTTTGGCATTATCTCGTCTCGATTCAGTTCCCCAAAAGTCCTGAACACAGCAGGCCAAGGGACTGGGGCTGGTTCGGGGAGGAAGCGGCCTGTCAAGAGTTGCAACGCAACTTGTTGCAACTCTTGCTGCAAGGCAGTGTCGCATGCAAGCACAATTAGGCCCGTTTGCTGCATGCATTAGCAGTGCAGAGGATTGTTGAACGCTCAGTTAATTCTCAATACCCAGCCTGCGCAGATGTAGAAATGCACGTACCAACTTGGGTTTCTTTCCGACGGGAACTGCCGACGGCTGCCAAGTTAAGCAGGAACGCTCAACTTGGCTGCATGCTGGGAACTAGCAGTACATCAGAGCCTATTCTTGTTGCTTTATTGCAGGATAGAGCCATCGTACTGAAGGAAAAGTGCGCCATAGAGGAGTAGAAAGGCCTTTGCTTGTCGTAAAGTTCTAACTGCTCTCTTTACGGTGCGCCACGAAGGTCATCGATATTGCCTCTAGGTTGTTGCCTACCCTACACTGGGTCTGCGTCAGCAGGCTTAAAGAAACTGCACTCCTGCGATACAATAGGGTGTTTGTTTTAACCAGCAGCTTCTGGGTGAGAACGGGAAGGGGGTTAGTGGGAGAAGCAGTAGCAAAGGAAGCCAGCGAACTGGAGTGCTGAACATCCACGAGCTGAGGGTATTGAAGCATATCATCACGAATGACAGCTTCCTCAAGAAATTCCTCCTCGGCTACTACATTGAATACTATGCCCCAATCCTCTGATAATGCCGCCTTCGGTCTTTATAACAAAATTTAGCACAAAGCCGCCACCAAAATGCAGAAGTAAGGATACTAGTAATTACGTTTTGAAGAGCATCTCCATTCTCTGCTGATTGCAGGTGTGTGCGTGTGTGTGCGCGTGTGTATGCATTCATTCACATTCACTTTAAGAACACTAACAGGTAGTAGCTGTCGATGACACATTACAGAGATGGCTGCTAGGCTACCTAGGTGACATGATGACGGGAAAGGAAATAAAATACTCTTGTTTCGTGTGAATATTTGCTGTTACTCGCTCACCAGTTCTACATATGCTTGAAATCCAGACCTGCTGTAACGCCTACTGCACCCCATGCCGAAAACATGTGCAGTCCGTTGTATGTATGAAACGCACTTTAGTGAAGTGAACGAACATTGCAGGCTCGTTAGGCCCCAAAATTAAGTTTAATACCATATTTAAATGCATCATGATATATTTGAACTGTACTAGCGCTCGGCTCCGCCGCCGAATCGATAGGAAGACTCGAAGGCCTCAGCCGGGGGGGCCGATACCCACCATCATCGGGCATATTCTGCAGACAATCATTGCTTGTGCGCCCTCATTTGCAACTTTTCCCCGTAAATTCTAGAGGTGACAACTATACCAAGACACCCGCTTCCCGTTAGGTGGTTTCCCTATGGCATTCCTCTTCGCTGCTGGCAAGTGGAAACAAATGGCATTTGCTATTAGCTGTACTGCAGCAGTCACTGACCTTCAAAACTGCTGCCCTAGAATGTCACGGAGATCTCTGTGTTTTCATCCTTTTCCCGTTGGCAGTCTCTACGAATGAGCATGAGCTGACAGGCTGGTGGTGATGCCTTGGGGCAGTACGGCGTTTGTATTTCTGCTGGGCTTGGTAGGATGCTGGATTTTCATGGAAATTCTTACCTCAGCGGCATGCATAGCGCTCTCTACCAGGGTTGGATGTGCTCCTTGGAACCTGCAGACGGACTGGCGCAGGCAGTTTCTTCTCTTTTCTCACTGGAGAAGTGCACTATCACGAGTTCAGAAGGATGGCTTCTCTTGGACAAAGCCAAGTAGATTTGTCCCTCTGCAACGCACACAGAGAGGACCTGGGTTGCACGTGACGAACTGTACTGCAGCGCAGCGTTTTCCGGGCTCCACTCGCTTGTCCAGCGTTCCTGATGCTGCAACCGCAGGGCACAGCCTGTGGGATGAGTGTACAAACCCTCTTCTTGCCCAAGTTGATCGTTTTGTCCTCTTTGGCGACCTGCATATTAGCGAAGCGACACTGCCAACCTGTCTCGATGCCCTTTCCCTGGTGCAGCACTCATGCAAACGCCATACTACATTCGTCCGCACAGCTAGCCGGAAAGTTCACGATCCTCCCAGTGGAGAGGGCAATCTGAAAACCCAGGAGCTGCCTGCTGCTGCTGTGTTCTTGGGAGATTTCTGGCATTCGCGTATCGAGAGAAACCTCCACTGGGGCCTCCTCAGGCCTGTCCTCGAGTTCTGGGAGCAGTGGGACGTTCCAGTGAGCCCAACATGCATATATATAATACGAATGAGTCGCATATACATAGTATTTTAGCTGTTCCAAGGTGTATGCACCCTGCAGTGTGGTGCAGTTGCCCTATACCTGTCGGAACTGTGTTGTTTGTCTGTCGGAATAATTGAACAGGTTGTACTGCTCCCTGGTAACCATGACCAACTGTCCTACGAAGAAGGGCGCGATTTGCTGCAGCCCTTAGAGAAGGCTGCTTCTCGAAGTCCTCTGGTATTGGCGTTGAGACGGCCAACCCTGATAAACAAAGAGCTTCTCTTCTTGCCGCATATTCGTGAGGCGAGCAAGCTGCAGCGCATCATGGCGCGGGCTAGACAGGTTCGTGATAATATATCACTTCACCCAGCTTCTTCGCGCGCGACGGCGAAAAGACACCTACGCCATCTCCGGTGTTAATATTCTTGGTGCATTTGATGCGGCAGTTGACTCGCGCCTGATCTACAAACCCTAGGCTTCCGCAATTCGTCACCTGATGCTTCCACACAGTAGTCATCGTATGATGGAAGGGCTCGTCTGTTTTCGTGTATCCCAGTGGGCTGCTGACCAAGGGAAGCTACGGGTTTGAGCTGCACTCTTGCAACACTGTTTGCAGTGCAAGACACTCCGCGCCGTCTTCGGTCACCTGAGTATTCGTGGAGCGTCGTTAAGTCCCTTTTCAGAGGAGAGCAGATCTTTACTGAACGAGGGTATAGACATTGATATACTGCCAGATGTGCATGTATATTCTGGCCACATACACACCCCGCAGCTCGTCGGCAAACAGGTTCGCTACGTGGGTTCGCTCTACCAGGTGAGCAGGTGCTGCGGAATGCCTCCGTTGAATAGTGGCACAAGGCATTTTGGTGCGAGCTCGTTACCACGGGCCGCCACTTGTTTTTGTACATTTCTTGCAGACATCTCTAGCGGAGGCATACCAGCGGAAGTGGCTCTATACCATTTCTAGGTCGCATGACTTTGAAGTGGTAGACGAACAAGAGTCCGCAGTTGGTCCTAGACATTTCCCTGTGAGAGATCCGCGACTCCTGCCCCCACCGACAGCGCTGCGCCGTGGGGACAGAGTGATTTTGTTGCCAAGCACCTCGGCTTTGGCTGAACTGCCTTGCAGCCAGACTCCTATTCCGTCGTTCCCTCCTGAAGGAAGTGGAGGGCAGCCGCCAACACAGCTAGGCACAGATGGCAACCAAGAAACGATGGGAAAATCATCTGGAGCTTCCGCAGGTCTACAGGACTCCAGGAATGAGATAATTTCTGGGAGCGATCATGCCAACAGCAGCTGCACTCAGCCGCCCAGCACAACTTTGGAAGCACGCAACAATGGGCTAGGCACCACCTTGAATGAGGTTTTGATGGGCAGGAAGGATGAGATAAGCGCAGAGCAGCTCATTCAAATATCTGAAGCCTACAGAGAAGCCGGTAATACACTCCTTGAACAAGTGGCTGCGGAAGGGAGCCTAATGCAGCAGTTCCAGAACTTGGCAGATGTTGTTCCGACAGTATTCGTGCTTGCTCGCAAGCATCTTAAACACCCGCTTGATGTCGGTCATGCTCGCAGGCATTTTGTTCGACTGCCGCATTAGTCCACTTGCATCAGCTTCCTCGCTTTCACAGCAAGTGCCTGTCAGTGTAGGGAAGGGCCAACAACAAACTCCAACCTCATTGAACATGAGCATACCCGGCTGGGCAAACTCTGCTGCCATTCAAGCACAGAGTTCCTCTACTGAATTGTCTCACGCTGATGAAGAACAGATCACGAATACCGCGTCGCACTCCTGTGCTGATTTTGGCCATCTGCTACCAGATGCCCTAACATCGCCCTTAAAACTCCTCATGCATCATGGCCTGGTACCGCTAGAAAACCGCCCACCACGTGAAGCGCTGCTTGTGTATGCTGACCAAGTCGCCAAAGATGGCTCTCAACCCTTCAGTACACAGGCCTGTACGAACCATACAGCAACACAACTTTCTTGCCAGCTCCACTATTAGGCCTTGTAGTCTCCTGCTCTTTCAGCGCGTCCTCGTTTAGGGTTGAACACTTTTGGAATAGGCACAGTGACGAAATCTTCATAGATCTCTTTGCTTTAGCACCTTCCGTTGTCTGCTGTGGGACTGCTGCAGTGGCAGCAGCCGATATTATACTTCAGGAACAGCTGGAAGGAGCTTGCTGGGCGGGGGGTGAAAGCTCTTGCAGAGCGGGTTTCCCTCCTGCAGTGAACGCAGGATGGTCTCATGCTGCTGCAGACCTAGTGCTGCATCAGGCACGTGTTCAGTCCTTTGGGCTTTACAGGTGTGCTTGAAAGACTTGGACCCTTTATTGAGAAGAAAGTAGTAGTAGTGTGTGTGGTGTCCCTAGGGTTTCTTTCGTATAAGCTTCATTTGATTGTTGTAGCTTGAGGATTATCGTGTCGTTCCGAGTTGTGCTGGGTCTTCATGTTCTGCACAGTGGTATCGTTCGGTTCGACTTGCGTCAACGCGGTTTAGTCTTTATTCAAGGAAGCAAGGACGTAAAACGGCGAGGACGTCTTGTTGCTGCTAACGGCGCTGGTCAGAATTCCTTAGGTTTCAAGTTAAAAGTAGCCATACAAGACGGCTGCCCCCAAACATTCGGAGGGGAGGAACTACTGCAATAGGGCCTGCAGCAAACGATTACGTTTCCAGTGTCTGCATTTAGGTGCTTTCCAATAGAAAATGCGACACCCTGTGTAATTGCCTGATACCGATATCCGTTTGAGGGGTGCGCGCGTTGCTCCGCTACATTACACCTCCAGCACCTGTAGCTCTGTGCGCTCATTTGCAGGCAAATCAACTATGATGCAAGCCGTCCTTTGGGCCCTTGTAGGTGATGCAGGATGTAGCGGATTCACCACGGTTGCGGGAAGACCTAAAGTGAGCCAGCAGATTTGTTTAAAAGTGCAGAAGCTGCTAATATCTCCAGCTCGCTTCAATGAGTGGGATCATTGCAAGCAAATCGTGCTTGCCACTCTGGTAACGTGCGATGACTTTCCAGGTAACGGGCGTTGTTTGTGATGACATGCCGCCCACTTCCAGCTCGGATTGCGCGGCAACGGACAGCTTCACGGGTGAGGGAAGAACCGCCGACGAACTGCTCCCATGCCTTAGCGCTGAAGATCGTTTCGCGTCGGTTGAACTGGAGGGTCAGTCCTTAGCTGCCGAAATAATAGATGCCCACGAGGTTCATAACTCTTAGGCCTCCAGAAATCCTAATGCCTTGCAGTCAGCAAGACACAAATCGGGATGCCCATGCCCTTGCTTCATCCAAGAGATTTTGTATATTTCCGGCATTGTTGTTTTAGGTGAAATTAATGGGGACTCATTTTATCTGCGGCGAAGACGTTGGCGTTCGGGGCGCTCGGAGTTGACGCTGCATGTTGGGGGCAGGGACATGACAGCTCAAAGTGCCGCAGATACGCAACGGGAGGTGAGTGCCTGCCAGTCGCAGCGTCGCGACTCGTTTGATGATTTTTCTTTGGGGGGCCATGCTAACCATACACTGTTCCATGCTATGTGCATTTGCAGCTTGAATCACTTTTTGGGGGTAGACTCAAAGCTTGGAGTCAGTTCATGTACCTATCATCCCATGGGGCCGATGGATTGCTACGGACGTCAGAAGCTAACTTTTCAGTGCGTGACTCTGAGCACATTAATGAGTCGTGTCAGCAATTTTAGGCCGAATGCGCATCTCCGTAAGGCCTACTGTTGCGCAGGAGTCTGTGCTATGCTACGTTTCCCCTGCACCACCCAGGCATTACTGACACTTCTTTCTCCGTTGGACATTTGGATAGCCGCGACGGCGGCAGCGCGCTCGAAGCAGCGAATTCTGAGCAAGGCAGCTGAGAACCTTGAACTGGTGGCGGCAGTCAGGTGGGTATCCACAGACTACTAGGTTGGAGCTCATGTTATGCTCCGAGTGGGATGATAATGCTCTATTGCTGCATGCTGTCTTTTTGAGCAGAACGAGAGACCTTCAGCGTCTTGTAGGCAAAATGAGATTATCCTCTCCTCACATTTTGAAGACAGGACTTGCTGTTGGCGTACCTCCATGTGGAGGGATATACTCCGACCCTGGTGCCAAACCATCAGGTCTAGCTGCGGACACTAAGGATGGGGAATGCCCTCCTGTTCTTTCGGACTCGTGTCGAGGTGCACCACAGGGAGACGTCAAAAGATCGGCACTTCCGCAAGCAAGGCGACTGCAGAGGCTTATTTCACTACTGCGTTCGAGGGCGGCGTTCTATACGTAAGTAACGAATACTGGCAGGAAACTGGCAGGCGAAATAGCCTTGCCTGCGTACTGTAGCGTTCTACGGGGTAATTCATGCTACCAGGAGTTTGTTGGTTTGGGTTTGGTACGTGTAGTTCTCAGAAAGCAGTATTTGAGGAAGTGGAACAACATCTTGGTCCCCAAGGCATTCAGCGACATCTGCTTGGGTAGGGTGTACTTAGATTAGTGCCACACCGCTTGATGCGTATTCGCACTCATATGAATCTGTAGGCTGCTTGCGCACAATCGAGATTTCTCAGGAAATGTCTCTACCGTCGCAGAACATGCATTAAGGAGTCTCCTTCACCTTCGGTAACCACTCGTGTATCCGATGTTTGTATCGGCTACCATTCCGCCTTGCGAAATGACTGAGCAGCTGCTGTGGTAGCTGCGATCTGTGTACAGATCGGCCCTGCGCCAGCTAGAAACGCAGACAAACATCTATGTTGAACAAGCCAGTGGCGGGCTGCTTCGGCTAGATTTTGCATCATCGAGAACAGCTCGCCTAACCAAAGTTCTAAGCGTTCGCGGCTCGGACGGCGCCTTTAGGCAAGCAGAAACTCATTTCGTAGGACTGTAGAGCTTGCCTTCATAACGGCACTCGAAGCTATTGGATTTGGTATTAGCTGCTTATGATGTGCGCTTCAGAGAGAGGACCATCCAGCAAGCGTCGAGCGGGCAGCGCCAACTGCTAGGGTTGTGTCTGTACTTAGCGTTTGTCGTTATACTTAAGCGCCGCGCTGGGCTCCGGTGTAATATTCTCTTCCTGGATGAGCCATTTTTGTCGCTTGACTCCGTAAACGAGTAAGTCACTCCGTTTGATCGTGGGTATACCGCACCTTCACGCCCCAGCTACAAGGTGGGATTTGCATTTGCCCTCATACCGCACAAGGTCCCGGCAACTCTTTATGTGCGTTTGACAGACAACGCGTTCTGGAACTTTTGCGAGGCCTCGTCAGCGACCCTCGGGGTTCGCGATTGGCAGAGTTCGAAAGTATCTTCGTGACTCAACATGTGGGGTGTTGGGCTACCAGCAATAATCATGCTGTACACAACTGCTGCCGAGCCTGGAGATGTAGTATTTCTTTTGTGCCTCTATCTAAACATTGATGCGTTGGTAAAACCGACTAACCGCCTGACATGCGGGTTTTTGGAACTGTCTTTGCTCAGGGTCTCCGTCCTCGCAAGTGGCGGCATATTCTGGATGCCGTAGACACTATCGCTATTCACAGTAAATCTGGACATCGAAGCATTACGACGTCTGTCTTTTTAAAGCCCGCTAAAACAGCTGCCATAAGGGCACAGATGCCATTAAATCATATAGCCCAGGCCAAGTGAAGCCATCCAAGAACTCCTCACTGCGTCCATCAGCCCACAGAGGCGGCAGGCTGAACGCCTTTCAACCAGCGTTGATGGGCGTCATAGGGGTCAAAATTTGGGGTGTCCCGTTTGGCCCCTCATGGCATACTGGTAGTCGCATCGCATGCAGCAATTGTCTGCAGTAGCATCCCACGGACGTTGGCTGACCCATCAGCACTAAGAATCAAATGTAGCGTTGACTCGCCACTGACGTCACTTCCTGAAGCGCACGCCTCAGGCAAGATCGACATACCAAGTTTGCATATTTTCTGCCTCGTCAAGCCGGCAATAACTTTGAACACGGCAGTGAGGCCTAGTGCATACAAAACACTGAATGGTCTATCGCGTTTGCCATTTGTTTTGGGGGCAGTATTATTGCTAGTGCACTTCCTTCGAAACATCTATGTTCTCTGGGTCAGACTCACCGTGTGGCTGCCCTGTATACGCCGTTGCTGTCTCCGCAACCCCTACAACAGATATAGCTGCCCACGCTCCCCGCCCTTGTGACAGTAGCCAAGTGCTGAAATGCGCACATAAGACACAATCAGCACCTAGCTTGAAGGTTCGTGGAGGTGAGCATATAACAGAAAACAGAACCACAAGTGCGGCTGCTTACGTTTACGTTTTTCGTGGGCATGTGCAAGATGCCCACTTACCATAGGGACTCTGCAGCCGATATCACAGCAGTCGAATGAAGAAGACCCCCAGACACACTAGCAACTGGAATCTGTACACACAAATCCACAGGTCATCCTGCGTAGGTGTTCAGTTAGCAGGTATAGCTCTAGCTCGATAGTCAGGAGGGGACAGGATGAAAAACGTCGTCAACAAAGGTGCTGTCGATGCTCGCCTTCTGCAGTTACAGAATGTCACCTAAATGCTGCTTTGCCTCTACTCGCATGGAATGATGCTAAGCCTTACCGAATGGGGATCCTTCATGCGGTCTGCCTCCCTAAACCACTCACCGTCCTCCTGCCCAACACAGATATGCAAAACCGTCCATTTTGCTTATTCGACTTATTGCAAGGTTTCTACCGTGTGCCGTTCCTCTGGGCTCCTTGCTCAACACTTATCGAAACTCCAAACGTGAACATCGTAAGGAAGACTTCATTTGTGCGGGGTACGCAGTATAGGGAAGGGCCTTCAGGCGTATCCAGCTAACGACAGGGAAAAAGAATGCCTCGTTGCTTACACTGCTCATTGGCATGTCCAAACTAAGGCACCCGAGATACTCAGTGACTCTGGAGAATATTGCCTCGGCTGGTGGCAGCTCCCTGAATGGGGGTGGAGCTGCCAGCTGGAGTGCCTCTTCCGTGTGGCTTGCGCTTTCCGGTGCCGACTGTGTGTCCATATCCCGCTGTTGCGATTTACGCGCCCGCCACTGTCTTTGTCTTTCATGCAGGAGCTGAAGAGCTTTTAGATAATCTGGGCGGATAGGGGGGCTCTGTCGCAGGCTATCGACGGAGTCGTTTAGTTCGTTGCAGCTAAGACGTCTTGGGGTAGCGGTGCTGTCGGATTTCTCCACACTTGCTTGACTGGATACACTTGAGGCCCGGTTGCTGAAAGCTTTCCGTTGGCCTTTTTGTCTCACCACAAGAGCTGCAACGGCCTCTCCAGTCGGACGAGCTGGTTTTGGAGCCGCACCAGCAGTAGCATCAAATAGCTTATCCCAGTCGGGCAGCAGAAGGCGATGCGGCATCTGGGAAGCAGGAAGCTCTGGGGTCATTAGTATATCTTCCCCATGCTCTGTATGTGAAGAGCTTAGCGCGCTTGCTGCCAATGCAGCCTCCTCAGTCATGTCTAGTATTCCCCCTCTATATTCTGACAAGCGGCACTGCAGCTGCACGATGTTGCAAGTAGCATTGGGGCTTCCGCTGGCACGCAGGAGTAGCTGCACTTCTTCTGCCAGCTTACGCCTTGCATCTATGCTCCCGCAATCTCCTTCAGGTGCTGCGGACACACCACCGTCAGGCATCCGACGCCATTGCTTAGGACTGCCACAGAAAGCATTGAGGTACAGGGTTGTAGATGCATGGGTACAGTTACGGAGGCTTTCAAACTTATTGAAGTATGATACCACGATGACACGTCCTGCTGTCCGGGACAATTCAAAACAGCAGGTGACGTGATTAGTCTAAACTTGTATCAAAGATTCATGGCTTACGTGCAGTACTGCAGAGGAGGTCTAATGGCTCGAGGGAGCTCAGGCTTCGTTGAAGCTGCAGATAGAGGCGAGACGGCGGGCATCCCATCGGGCTTCCCTGGTCTGGTTGTACACCTTGCATTTGCCGTTTTATCTTACTCTGCGTGGCCAGCTTCTGGTGGCGCACGACTGCTGGGTGTTGTACATCAATTTTTAGGAAGCGAGTTCCAGGAGGCAGAGCTGCGTCAGCATTCAGGCCGAAGAGGAAAGCAGGCAAAGGCTGGAGGTCGCTGTTCACCAACATACTTGTTCTTGCACATACACTGGAAAGGAAAACATAGCAATACTTGTGGCAGAAGTAATGTCGTGTGTGTAGTTAGACTCCCCGTACATTTCCGCATAAAGTGCGGTAGTCGTATCCATGTATCCAGTCCCAATACCTGCGCCGTCAAGCGGTCCAACTGAACTCAGACAGAAACACACTAGCCAAACGGTCTGTCAGCAAGAGGCATTGATATTACCGAATAAATACACTCTCTTCCCCTTACTCCAAAAGAAGAAGAAACTACGCAAAGACGAGCAAAATGAGGTGTCGCCAGTCAGCGGACGAAACGCCAAGCGGCACCAATAGAGATCTGAGTCTGGAGTACACCATACTTCAAACCTATCCGTGGCAAAACACCAGTATGCATACACCTAAAATTTTGTGCAATGCATGCCGCATCAGCTCAGCGAAATGCATGAAAAGTTTGAAGGTTTTCAAGATACTGGAAGGTCGGTTATTGCTGGACTAGACCGCGTCCAGTCTCTTTGCCGAGTCCTGCTCGTAAGTATGCATACCTTCAGAATCATGATTCCGTCATTTTGCAAAGAAGCCGTATTCCTATCACCTCCAGTGTCTCCTATCACTGGGCAAGGCGCTTCGGCAGCACCTGTTGTTGCTGCCCCACAACATGGCACTGAACCGCCTGGTCCACGCCAACTGAGAAGAGATCCCTTCCAACGCTTCAGCAGCAGCTGTTGCAGAGGAAGATGAAGGAATGCATCTAGAGAGACATTTCTTAAGCAGAGGCAGCAGCTCCCACTGGCCACCTGTAAACCCCAAGCAGCATGCACGCCCAAAGATCAAAATGCCAAGCAACCATATATACTGTTGGCTGTATTCATCCAGTACATGAAGGTCATTGCCTCACGCTGGATATGGCTGAACGAAGAGCCGATCTGGCGCTTTCCGTTGAGGAGCCCGGTAGCCCATCCGAAGCAACGAGGAATAACTGCACAGACGCAACAAAAATTAGTGGCGTTATGCTGCACTTTACGATTAACGTTTCTCGGCATTCCGGTTGCTGTTGTGGTTATCGTGATGAAAAAGGAAGAACCGTTCCCATGCATGTGTATGAAAAATGGAAGGCGGAACAGGTGCTTGGGCCTTGCCCATATGCTCTATACTGCATGGGGTAGAGGGCAGCTACTGAAAGGACTCTTTCAGTCCATGGGCTTGTGAGACTACATCCTTGCAACCCGACCTGCTGATTATAAGGATGGCGGTTCAGAGCGTGGGCAAAAATGCGCATAAGGGAGGGCCCATCTCCACTACGTAGAGAGAAACGGGCCTGTGGCAGCTGAGAGGCATTGCGCGGGCCCGTGCCGTCCCTCTGAAAGAACATTGGCCGGCAGATGGCTTTCTCCTACAAGGACGATTACAGTCATGAAATATGTCTAGTTAAAGAGGAAAGTGGGGAAGGCAAAGAGAAGACTCCCCGTTGCATCGGCGAGGCTTGTTCTGAAATGCCATAGAACTTGACGCAGGCTCAGACGATAGCGGACGGTGACGTGTTGCATGTGGGAAAGAATTAAAATATGCTGCGAGATATTTGGGAAATTCAAAAGGAGGGGTATGACAACTTTCCCGAGCCAGCGTGCATTCCAATGATGGATCTGGCAACGAAGGATCTGGAGGGCCCGATCCGGCTCCAGTCCAAACTCCCTGAAGGATACTTCGGTATCCCTAAAGAAATCAATAAAAAGAGAGTCAAACCATCATAAATAAACTGGAGACGCAAATTGTGTTGTAGAAGTTAAACACCGATGGCTCGGGAAAATGCATTCGTCCAGCGGGGCCCTACAGCCAACCAGGGGGGCCCTCTCACAGGAAGGGGTTTAACAACCAGCCGGCTCCTGCGTCCTGCACACGCTCCAGAAAAATTAGTAACCGGAATAACACCGTTGAAGGACAAACAATTGTAATACTAGTCTCCTTTTGAAGGGTCACCACTGCGTATGTGTGTCGCTGCCACACACATACGCGACCGGAGGGGGCTCCTAATTTCCATCTAAAAGTTCAGTTGAATCGTTCACATGGGCTATAGTTTCTTTCTCCTGAATTATACTCTATGGATGATGGACGAGAGAGTTCAAGTTTGCAGCAGACAGAGGGGATCCCCCGTTTTATGTATTCCCGTTGGCACACCCGCGTGAAAACAGGGTCTTCTCCGGAACACAAGGCCTCGAATCTTCTTGGAACCTCGCCACACCAAACAAACCAAACCCATGCGTATGGTCCTTCCAAATCTGAACCATTAGGGCCATTGCTGCGGGGGTAGGAGCCAACGCCTGCCGGCGCATCTAATTTTATTATGGGCGCGTGCGCCCTCATGGGAATTATGTTTATTCCTGGCGTCTAGCTCATGGCTGGTGCTGGACCTACTCAGCATCACTGTATGCTGTTGTAGACGTCTCATTAAGGTTCCCTCCTTGTGAGAGGCCTTACTGGTGCGGCGGCAGGATGTCGGGGCTCCTCTCACAAGCCCATCACGCGACGCACAACTTGTGCAATTCGTTCTGGAGATTCTGCCACACTGGTGCCGGTATAAGGCATAGCAGCACCGACCACAATAGCGAGGTCATGCGGAGAGGCAGCGGTAGCCATGTCAGACACCTTCTTGGACGGTTCAAGATACCTCGTAGATCCAGCAACCATCGTAAGGGGGTCTCGTCATTGGCTGCGCTGGGTAGGGGTTGCTGTGCTGCTGGCGTTGCTCTCACAGCTGCGGGACTTATCGGATGGGGAATTCAGGTGGTGATGCCTGAAAGGTCCCGCACCTGGGCTGTGTTACGATGCGCGAACGCTGCTGCTACCCTTGCTGCGCTCAGCCTTGACTACAAGTTGCTGGGTGAGCGCTTGTGCCCATAGGGGATAACGAAGAAAGATATATATAAGAAAACGGTGCATTTTTGCTTAGCTTCACACAAGGCAGCCATAACGAAGGTTAATATGTCATTACGTGATCGAACATACTTGAAGCATACGGATGCAGGTTAGAGCTTGTCGCGGACCGCTCTTAGCTTGCAGGTTTGAATGCAAAGTACGCATTCACAAAGTTATCAGGATATACATGTGTGTTGTCGCACGTTCTTGAGCGTTTGTTTCTTGCGGATGTGGTGAGAGATAGATGCTGTATTTCTGTTCAGGTTGGTGGGACATTAGCGGCTGCCACCGGCGCAGTGCACGGCGTCTCGTGCGGCTGGCTGAAAGGAACAGAGGGGTATACGTCAAAGTTGGGCAACACGCCAGTGCAATGGAATATCTGCTTCCCATAGAATATACCCAACAGCTGCAGCAACTACAGTGCAATCTACCCCCTTCTCCCATGGCACAAGTCGAAGCAGTGCTCAAGGAAGAACTGAAGATCGACAGGTTGGATGAAGTGTTTAAGGAGTTTGAAGAAACACCAGTTGGCGCGGGTAGGTTCATTAGTGGCTACACTACAGGTCCACTCCATAGCGCTTTGTTTGAGTAGCACCCCTTTCTTCGGCTCCTTCTTGCCTTTCGCCGTCTCCATTCACCGTTGTTATTAGCACGCTGACTTAGTATTGAGCAGTTTTCTCGGGTTGCAATTTACTGACGCTTCCACTACCTCACCTTATCTGAAGAACGTTGCGCTTGTGTTGAGCCCTTCATATGCCGGTGCCCGCTACTGCGTCATCTTGTGTAAGCAAGATTGACAAAAGATAGTGTGGGCCAACAGAACAGGCGAATGGACGAAGTAGTGCATATCCGTTGTTGCGCTCCTGTCTCACTCCAGCCTCGCTGGCGCAGGTACACTTCGCTGTGCTGGCAAATGGGCAGCCCGTTGCTGTGAAAGTGCAGCATGCTGACGTGGGGGAGCTTGCCAAGACGGACACAAGAGTTGTTGAAATCTTGACGGCAGTTGCAGCTAAAATATTCCCAGATGTCAGGTGCAATACCCACGCGAGTAGCAGCAGTAACGCTTCATTGCCTTTTACCTGGAGATATGTGTATACGTACATTGGACCCAAAGGCATCTTTCATGCTTTGCTTACGTTTATGCGTCTACCGCCTTGCACATAGATACACTGCGCACACAGGCATTTGCCCCCGTATTCTGTGTTGGCACGTGACACGACATCTGAGTCGTACGACGGAAGCGCGGAGCGCCGTAATGTAATTCAGCGCTCTCGCTGTGACGTAGATTGCGGTGTTTTTGTATAGGGCGGTTTCTACATAGCTTCAAAGTTCCCCGACTTGTCCCTGTTATCTGTACAGTTGAATTAAGCTAGTGCAACTGTTTGCTGCCCTTTCTTCATGCAGGCTTGAATGGCTTGCCGATCTGCTTCGAGAGAATCTTCCTGCTGAGTTGGACTTCAGAAGGGAGGCCGAAAATGCCAAGAAGTGTCGCGAACTGCTGCAGGAGGGATACTCTGCTTTTCACTTTGCGCTGCCGGAACCTTCATTAGTGCGCTCGTTCCTCATCCGGCTCGCTGCAAGTGTAGTTTCATGGCTTGGGCTTCCTGAACCCCACTCACACTTTGCAGACAACCATGGCGCTCAATTGGCAGGAACACCCCCGACGTTGCGGAGCGGCGTGGAAGGTACTGCAGGAAACGTTTCGCTCGTTACAGGCGAACAGCAGCACGCTAGAGCCCTGCAGCTCCACTCAGGGTCCACCGTCATTTCAACCGTCCACAGACAGGATGATAATTCACACTGTCTCAAAGACTACGAGGTAGAGCTTTACGTGCCTCGCGTCTACAACAACTTGACTACCGCCAGAGTTCTCGTTATGGAACGTTGTCAGGGGGTCCCAGTGGACGATTTGCGGGGAATTGTTTCTCAAGGTCAGCCGAAACTGCACAAGGAGGTATTCATGGGTCTTCTGGGACATGTGACTCTGGCTGTAGTGACTCTTTCCTACTTTGCGCCGCAGGAATTCACCCTCTAGCGGTCTCTGAAGCATTGTCAGAACTCTACGGGAGGCTCATTTTTGACTTTGGGTTTGTACACGCGGATCCGCACCCTGGAAATGTCATTGTACATCTCGACAAGATTTTACACCCAGACCAATACCCTAAGCAGCCGGCACTTTGGTGGCATACACCGGTAGTTTTATCGTCTCTGAGCGGGGCAAAGGCCTTGAACACCCCGGGGCTTTCACAGGAATCGGGGCACGCAAAGGGGCGGCTTCGTCTAAGCCTTTTAGACCACGGCCTATACTGTTCACTTAGTGAACAATTTAGGTACACCTATGCCAGCTTGTGGCTGGCCATGCAGCGGGGAGATATTGCAGCTGTGAGTGCATGCGCCAACGAATTTGGAGTGGGCGAGCTGGCTGGATTGCTCGCCGTTATCCTCAGCCTGAGGAGCGAAGACAGGTGCGGTGCGAATCAATATATTTGAAAGGTAGCTTCAATGTGCCTTCCCACTATTGTATTTTCTTTGCTGCGCATTGTTGTGGTCCCAGCATAAACTCGGGGTTGCAGCTGTCGCGAAAGTCTCCCGAGTAAGGTTCACTTACCAAGCGTTGCTTTTACAGGAGGATCCTCTGCGTGTAACACTTGCAGATTCATTTGTGCAGCATTGTCTTTCCACTTTTCAGTTTATGGGCAGAGGCAGCATTGCTTAAAACTTCGTATGCGTTTGACACTTGCAGATTCATTTTCCCCCCGAAATGCCTATTCATTTGTGCCGTGCGCGAGCAGAGAGGCGGCACTTCTGCGTAGATTGTTCCCCGAGTACTTCGCCCGGATTACTAGTGTCCTGCAGGATATTCCTCACGAACTCATCCTCCTAATTAAGACGAACGATTTGGTCAGTCCAGTCTCCTCTCCTTCCTCCTGAATCTGCATAGCCGCAACGTGACCTCTTGCTGTTCCTCTAGACACGCAGGCTTGCTGCATGTAGAATACTGAATGCGGCTGGTTGCGTTGTTGCAGCTGCGAGCAATACAAGGAAGATTAGGCATTGATGAGGCTCTCGTTCTTCTACCTCTGCTGCATCGTGCACTAGCTCTTGTCGGCAAGAGCGAATTGCAAGAACTCACTCGACTGAAGGCACCCGCCCTTCAGGTATATCCAGGACCCCAACCTGTATTCATCAGTACTGTTAATACCGGGCTTGCCGTTTCCCAGCGAGACTAAAACCCCCCCGAACAACATGAATTCAGTACTGCACTTTTGACTCTCTTGAATCGTTCATCTGCAGAGCTGTGGAATTTCTGATGGCTCCCTTTTTCCATGCATATTCGAGGTATAATAAGTTTTTGGTTCAACAAAACGTCCACTACAGTAAGTTGTAATAAGGCAAGTGGCTTTGCTTCCAAGTGAATGCGTGTTCAGGTTCTCCATGCCCGGTGGCACTTATGGAGCGCTACAACGCGCTTGAGGTGCGCGCAGCAGCTGCTGAGGGTGCGCTCAATGAGATGGGATACTCCTACAGAAGTGGCGATTGACTGTCTCTGCAGCGCCTTTTAGCCGCAGCTACTAGGATGGCATATTTTAACCCCAAACAAAGCATGCTGCTCAGATGCAGCTCGTTTAATATATTTTTATTTCCACCGGTTCTTCTTTGATACGGTGAAAACAGAAAAACTATCTTGGGATACTCCCTAGTTTGACTATTACATTAGGCTCTAAGGTAAGCTTAGCGCCATGCGCCTTAGGACGATTGAATAGTACCTTCGCTTTATTCTTGTCAACAAGAGCTAGTGCACGTTGCAACAAAGGTAGAAGAACGAGCGCCTCATGAGTTGCTCTTGTTTCATCCCTCCTCTGTAAAGAGCGGCCGTTCGCTGAGGGAACCTGCAACATGGGTTGTGGGTACACCACCGACTTGGGGTATTCAAGTGCGGATGAACTGGCAATGGCGAGCTGCTCACGCCTCAGCCCCTTTTTTTGCATAAGCGGAGCGCTGGTCCTGTTGCAGTGTACATGCAACTCTGGGGTAGGCAGGATGAGGCAGCAACAAACCGGGGGTGTCCCATGGTTAGTTTAAATCAAAGGGGGAACAAAGTCATGAACTCGCGTCAAACAAGTACACCTGCATACACACTTCCTAAAGAAGGTACTCAACACTTAGAAAGGGCGAAGCTGAAGACACGCCTATTGGGATCTTTGCTTCTGCCTGGATGTTAGTTGCTGTTTGCTGCAGTGACGGAGATATGGCTGCCCCCTCAAACACTGTGCATAAGAGACAAGCGAAGTTCTTTCGCTCCCCTACACCTGCAAGGCCCAGGGAAGGCCAAGAAATGCCGAAGTATCTCCCTGTTCCTATACCCTAAACTCTCAAAAGAGCCCGAGGCATGAAGGCACAAAAGCCTTCTAAACCCTCTGGATATAAAATATAGTGACCAACCAACACCAATTCCAAACCCACCCATTAATGAAGTAATTACTACAACCCATGCAATCGGCACAAGCTATAATGATACAAAATTAACTAAGCATGTACCCACTGCTGCAGGTTGTTGCTGCGGGAGAAGCGCTGTTTGTTGCTGTGCGTCTTGAGGCATCTCTGCCCAACTGCGAAAGAAGCCTTGTCAAACAGGACCCTCATCATCAGCTCCTCTTCACCATATGCCTCATATAAGAGGCAGAAGAGTTAAAGACAAACAAAATGCAGAGGCAAATAGCACGTAAATGCCAGTGCTCTTGTTCAGGTACTGCACAGCCACTGCAGTCAACCCCTTTGTACTCAAGGAAAAGAAAGTGCTCGCAGCCGCAAGTCCCCGCATAAATATTATTCTGCGAGGATTTAGCCTTAATTTCAAGGGTTTCGGGTGTAGGGTCTAGCGTGCGCAGATTATGGCTTTGGGTTTAGGATTTAGGGTTTAGGGTTTAGGGAGTCGGCGGTGCCTCCCTCGACTGCCGGGGCTCAAAGAAGGCTCCCCAAGGGATGTGGGCTCACGGTAAGGGTTCTTTTTGAGGTAAAACATGAAAAAAATATTACTTAATAAAACAATATATGCAAAACTGCAGTTCAAGTACGCTCCCGCTGTGCCGCTCATCACCCCCGATTGAGCTGCATCGGAGTTCAGGTGTTTACTTCGCTGCATTTTCTTCCTTCTTCTTGAAACATATGCATGCAACAGATCCGGGTCGTATCTCTTTTGCATGCATTTCTCTCAACTCTCTGTTTCTTGGGATCTTTTGCTTCCAGAAAAACTGCTTCCGCCACCTGCAACAGGGGCCCGGGGCCCCTTAAGCTGTAGCTCAACTCATGCAACCCTAAACCCTCTCTAATCAGCGTCAGCCTCCTACCTAACTTACGGAGGCCCCCAGGGGTCCCTGGCTGCTACCTCGGATGCTCCGGGGCCCCCCTGTTGCGATCTTCCTGCAGTGTTTGATATACGGCTTTCTCATCTTCTCTGCTGCGGAGACTGCCCCCTTCTTGCTGTCGAAGCACCCTTTGGGTTTCTTTATCCCCTGTTCCTTTCTCCTCCAGACCTCCTCGAGGATTCTGCCTGGGGGAGCCCCCTGTGGGCCCCTGGAGGGCCTCAGGGGGGGCCCCAGACAGGGCCCCCCATGGGGCCCCTGCAAAGCCACCCCAACAAGCCCGGGGCACCCCAAAGAGGGCCCCTACTGCAGATCGGGCAGAGTGCCTGCTGGCGTTTGTTCGGCCGTGAGAAGCAGCAAAGTCTCAGGGGAGGGGCCCCCCTCTGCCCTGGGGGGTAGCAGAGGCGATAGAGGGAGAACGTTGAGAGAAGAACGTGGGGGGGCCCTCTTAACCTCAAATAAGTCTTTAAAAGGAGACAGTAAATGGACCAATGGCTCCTCTAAAAGAGGCACATTTCCGCAGAGGGGCCCCCCTACGCCTCGGCTGCACCGGGATAGCAGCCAGGGGCCCCTACCTGTGGGGCCCCACCGGCGCAGCGCCAGCGCGTCCGTGTTGCAGCAGCAGCTCCAGCAGGTGGAGCAGCAGAAGCGGCAAGAACAGGAAGCGGAGGACTCTGTCATTCTGCTCAAGAAGTTGATGGCGGCGCTGGGGCATAGGGAACTGCTGGGGGGCCAGGAGGAGACACTGCGACGATCGGTAGAGGGACAAGACCTCGTTCTCTCTACCCCCACAGGCTCAGGGAAGTCCCTTTCTCTCCTGCTGCCGTTGCTGCAGTGGCACACCGCACGCTCAGCAGCAGCAGCAGCAGCATCTGCAGCAACCAGCAAGAGAAGGCGTTTACTGCTCGAAACCATCACCACCACCACCACCACCACCACCAGGAGTTCGCTGTACGCGACGCAGGGGGAGCTGCCTGCGCTGGCCAACGCACGATCTGCTGCAGCAGCAGCAGCTGTCTGTACAGCTGAGGCTGTCTCCCTTGTGGTTGTCCCTACTGCATCTCTGGGGCTTCAGCTTTTGGGGGAGTTGAGGGAAGCTGCTCGTTGTTGGTTGCCTGTAGCTGCTGCGTTTAGAGATAGAAAATGGGACAAGAGGAGACAGCAGCGTGCGGCGCCCCTTCGTGTCCCTCGGCTGCTGCTGATCGATAACACGATCCCGCAACAGCAGCAACTTAGAGACACCCTGGAGGAGACAGCAAGCGATGCAACTGAGGTCTCCAGCCACGGCATTGCTAGGAAGGGGACTGATGAACGTCTCTTGCTGCCTTCATTGGGGGACCTGCATACAGTGTAGGGTCCCGCGCGGCTCCTATCTCCTTCCATATCCTTCGTTTGTCTCCTGCCGTCTCCTTTTGTTCTGCTCCTGTCTCTGATGGCCCTTCGTTTCTTCTTCTCCCTGTCTTTTCTGCCTCTCGTCTCCTGTGTCCTCCTCCTGCGTGGCTCTCGCTGTCTCCTCTTGTTTCCTGCTGTCTCCTCCTGACTCCTTTCCTTTGTCTCTTGCTATGCCTGTCTTTACCTTGAGAAATTTACTTTGTGCTCGTCTCCGTCTCGGTCCCTGTGTCAGTCTTCACGCCCTTGTCCTTGTCTGTTGCTGCCCCTATCTCCTCCTGTTTCTGCATGTGTCTCCTCCTCTCTTTAGTCTCTCTTTTGCTGCTTCTCGTTACCCCTGCCTCTGCGCTGCACGCCCGCACCACCTACTGTCTCTGATGAAGTGTCTCCTCATCTGGGCCTTGTCTCGTCTTGCGAATCTGACAGGACGGATCCAACGGGTCTGGTTTTGTTCGCGACACCGCAGACGCTGAAGCGCCTCCTGCTGGTGCGGCCCTTTACTCCCTTTGTCTCTTTACCCTTAACTGTGCCTTGTCTCCTGTCTCCTCCACCTGTCCCCTCTGGGTCCCCCTGTCCCCTTTTCGAAGTCTCTGCCGCACCCAGTGTCTCCTTTTCGTTAGATGTTTCATCTGCCCCTTGCGCATGGCTCAGCTCCTAAGGCCTGTATTGTGTAGAAAGACGCTGCCCCAAACCCTAAACCCTAAACTCTTGCCCTTTGCATGCGTACTGCGGGCTGTTCCTTGCAGCGTCTCCTTACTATGGGGCCCCCTGGGGCCCTACGCCACTTCGCCTCCTGCGTCCGCCATTTTGTGCTCGACGAAGTTGACCGAATGCTGCAGCCCTTACGTGTGTCGCCTATCCTAATCCCTCTAGTTGTCTCCTCTCTATCTTTTCTCTGTCTCTGGCTCTGTCTACCCCTGTCTCGGGCGCTGTATCTGTCTCTGTGTGTGCCTCCGCCTCCTGCCTGAGTTCCTGTCCCTGTTGGTGTTTCTGTCTCTCCCGCTGACTCCGTTTCTGCCTTTATTTCTGTGGCTGTCTCTCCCTAGCTCGCTGTCTCCTGCTCTCAGTTTCCCTCTCACCTCCGATATCAGTCTCTGTCTCTATTTGTGTCTTTGTCTCTGTGTCTACCGCCCCTTGCGTCTCTGCCTCTGTTTTTCTTTGCGTTTTTAGCTTCCTTCTTCTTAGCGTGCCGCTATCTCTTTGTTAAACTCGGCCTCTTTTAGTCTCCTTTCACTCTTTTTGTAGGCCCTATTCTTTGTCTCCAATCTGTCTCCTGCCCCAGTCTGAACCCTTTGCCTCTGCTGCTCCTTTTCTTCCCTTTCTCCTCTGTTTCTTTGTCTCTGTCCCTGTGCCCGCTCTTTAGGACTTCCTTTTACAGCTCCTTTCTCTGTCTCCTTTTCTGTTTTCTGTGTCTGTTTTTCTTCCTCGTGCTGCGCCGCCTGTGGCGCCCGTGAGCAGACAGAGGAGACGTGCGCCTCTTGGCTGTCTCTTTAGTGTCTTCGGTCTCCGCAGCGCAGCAGGAGTGTTGCACTTAAGAGACAGTCTGCATCTGCAAGGGTTGGGGGTTGCCTCTGGCTGTCTCTTTGGGGGGGCACCAGTTCGATGTGGGGCTCTGGGGTGTCTCCGAATTGCAGGCCGCTACGCGCCATTGAAGGAACGCATGCAGCAACTCAAAAAGCCCCAATCTGTTGAAGTGCTGTTGCGGCTGCTAGTACAGAGCCGCTCTTTGTCTGGCACTGTTCGCGGTGCGAAGGCGGAGGGCTCCGAAGCCCAGCTTGAGGAGACAACGCTTCAGGACGTGCAGCAGACAAAAACTGTCTCCTTTTCCCGGGCTCCTTTCCCGCTGCAGCTTCTGGCAGCCAGCGCCTCTCTGGGTAGACCCCTGCACCGGTACTTAGCGAACCTGACTCGGTGGAAGCAGCAGCAGCTGCTGCTGCTGCAGGCACGGGAGCCTCCTCTAGAAATGTCCTTCCTCCAGAGAGACAGCAACGGCCTGCACTCTGTCAGCACTAGGAGACAGTCTCCCTGTGGGGCCTTCGCTACTCCGCAACAACGCATGAGAGCTGCCTTCGAGCGCCTTGCAGACAGGGGCCTCTTAGGCCTCCCCCGTCTGCTGTCAGCCCCAGCGCCGCCCCCTGAAGGGGCCCATCTCTCTCTAGGAGTGGCTTCGTCCCCAAATGGCTTCAAGGCCGTGCTGCCCATCATCAGGTGGGATAGGGTGTCTCCTTCTTTTACTTTGTCTTTTAAAAGGCAATGTCGACAGCATTATGTGTCTTAAAGGAGATCACTGCAGGGCTTTATGCAATACAGGGGAGAGCAGATACTCCACTCAGACTAAGGCAAAGGAGGGCGTACCGTAGTGTCAGCCGAGTGGCCCAGGGGCCGCCATAGACGGGGCTTAAAAGGCCTTAGTAAGGGCCAGAAGGGGTCCCCGTAGAGAATAAGTGGGCCCTTAGAATGAGGCTTTTAAGGCCGTGCATAGGCTCTATAAGCCCTGTCTCTTTAATGAGTGCCTAGGGAGCGCCTCAGGGACTCAACAGAGGTGACAGGGGACCTTCTCCGGCTATGAGCGGCGCTGTTGCCTGGGGGCGCCTCTCTGCTGCATTGTTCGCTTACTCCTGGAGTGCCTTGTGCTATTTACAAGCGAACAGCACAGCGCTGGTGTCTCTACAGAGGAGATAGCGCTTAGAGAATGCAGCGCCTATACCCTTAACTAGCGGTCGCCTTGATTTGCGGTGTGTCTCGTCGCTGCAGGTCAGACAGTGCCGGTTCGGTGTCTCCAGGAGGCCTAGCGGGGGCCCCTTCTTATGACGCCCCCCTTCAGTCCCCTCTGAATGCGGAGACCCCAGGGGACGCCGCTGCTGGGCAGTCTCTTAGGCGGAGACAGATTATCCCTCCATGCATCTCGCACGCCTTATTCCCCGTTCCTGAGAACTCTGCAGGTAAGCAGTTTGTGCTCCTCTCTGTCTCTATGTCTATCTTATCTGTCTGTTGTGCTTGCCTCCGGGTTGCGTTTTCTTGCACTTGGTACAGAAGAGGGGACACTGCAGAGGGGCCGATGCTGTTTTTATTCCTAATGAGGCTGCATTGCTTAGCATGAAGGACTTGCACGTGTGTTTGCTGCGCTGCATGCAGAGACACTCGCCGATGCTGCTGCTGATCTGTGCACCCAGTTCAGACCACGCAAGGCCTTGCTGCTGCTGCAGGATGGGTCCTCGCTGCGGACTCTTCAGATGCACATGAAGGCGAGAGGCCACAAGGTAGGCAGCTAGCAAGCCATATAGCCAGCTAGCTAGCTAGCTAGCTAGCTAGTTAGTTGGCTAGCTGGCGGGCAGGGTAGTTCCTCCGGTTCCTTTCGCCGTTCCTGCTTCAGCTTCCCTTCCCGACACATAGGTCCATCGGTCCATCTGCTGCTGCTGCCGATATTCCTGATGCTGCTGCTGCTGCTGCTGCTGCGCTGAACCCGTGCAGGTGGATCTGCTGCATCAAACGAGCGAGTGGTGGAGGGCCCCTTCGCTGGAGCAACAGGGTAGGTCTCAGAACCACCCACATACTGACCACTGCAACAGCAGCAGCAGCAGCAGCGGCAGCAGTAACAGCAGCAGCACAATTAGTCGCTGCAGCAGCAGTCGCTGCGTTCGCAGCCGCTGCTGCTCTTGCTGCTACATGGTTTTGCGTTGCGGATTGCTTGAGCTGACCTTTCTTCGTGCGATGCACTCAGGGACTTGTGTCCCCTCCCTTTGATCTTCTTTATTATTTTGCTTTTTGTGTTTCCGGTGTCTTCTTGTGCTTGTACCAGGCAAAGAACAGCTGCAGCAGCCCCAACAGCTCCTTGCTGCTACAATGGAGGCAGCCCGAGGCCTTCACGTGGAAGGCGTAAGTTTCCCCTTTGTGCCTGCCTACAGATCCTGTCTCCTTCTTGCAAGTACTCAACGACTGTCTCCTTGCTGCGCGTCTCCTATCACTCTTTTCTTGTTGTCTGTCCCCTGTAGTAGTAGGCGTACTACTTGCTGCATTTATCTTTGTATCTGTCCCCTCGCTGCGTTGTCTCCTTGCTTCTACGTCCTCTTAGGCAGAGCTGCTGCTCCTCCTCGGCCGCATCAAGAACGTCAGGGAGTACATACATCTAGCGGGTGCGTCTGGTGCCTACATGGGGGCGTATGTTGGGTGGGGTGGGGCCGGGGCTTCTGCCTGCTGCACGCTACCTGTTACTGCATGCATGCTTGTATGCATGCGCTCTGGGGCTTTGCAGGGCGCGTCGGCCGCTGTGGGTTGCAAGGCCTTTCCGTGGCGGTCTCCGATGCTGCTACACAACGGTAAGCTAAATCATTTTTCACAGGCATCGCAGAACCAGAGCCCCACAGCAATTCCTTTTCTATTTCTGTCTTTAGACAAGCTGTCTCCTAGTTGTTCTCCGCTATCTTCTACCCTTGCCTCCTGAGAACGTCTCTAAAACCCCACCATGCTTTGTCTGTCTCTATGAAATGTGCACATTTTCTTCTTTTGTTTGCAACTACTAGGACTAGTCTCTTCTTCCGAAGCAGTTAGTATACCGTTTACTTTCAGGCGCTGAGGGTACAGCACGGGGCCCTGTGGTCTTCTGATTGTCCTGTCCTCCTCTTTAACCTTAATGTTTGCTGCAGCATCCTCTTAAGCTGGCAGAAGACGCTGGGCATTACTTTTAGGCCCCTCGCGCCGCCGCTTGCTGCCGACCCTTCAAAGGAGGCAGCAGTAGAAGAAGAGGCTCCCCTCACCAACTCCAGGACCAAGCCCCAGCAGCAGCAGCAGCAACAGCAACAGCAGCATCAGCAGCTGGACTGGCAGCAGGAGACCCCGGTACTGTCTCAGAGACAAGAAACAGGGTTTGACGCACAAGGGGAGCCTGCACAGGGAGAGGGGGGAGAGGCCCATCTAGACGGGGGTCCACTGAATTATCTCTCCACCCATCTTCCTTCTCTGTTGCTTATCTGAGAGCACTGCCCCCGTAGCACTGCCCTTGCATGGGGCGCGCGGGGACAGCCGCTGGAAACTGTACTCATCTCGTTCAGCTGCATACTCTTTCGTGTTTTTGCTTTTCTTCTAGCTTGCCTCTGTCTCTAGGGAGGGATACTGGCAAAGTATGTGGGCTCTAAGAGTCTCCCCTGCGCTGTCTGTGGAGACAGGCACCCTAAACCCTAAACCTTAAACTTTACAACGCCATTTCAATTCAAAACTCCTGCATGTGGGAGTGCCTTCTAAAACCCCAAATTCCTAAGAACAAGCACTATTTCCCGATCCTGAGGGATCTGCCTCTGTAGATATGAATGCCCAGTAGTCTCCACTGTCTAGGCTCCCTTTTTTCTTACCTATACAATTGTCTGCATCAGCTACATCGCTGCAGGTTTGTTGTTGCTCGTGTCTGTCTATCTCCTTGCCACTCATCTGTCTCCTTTCTATTCAGCTATCTCCTTCAGCGTCTAGGCCATCCCCTACCTCTCTAACTGGTTCTAAATTGGTGCCCCTCGCAGGTTCTTCTCTTTGGCTACATATATATATATATATATATATATATATATATATTACATACCCTTCCCCCCAGGCAGGACGCGGGTCTCTCTCTCTAAGCTTTCTCATAGCGCTCTGTTTGTATACACTCTGCAACAGCATTTATATCCAATAACAACTTTATTAACCTGTACCGTGCATTATATACTCAGCAGTTGGCGCTCAACACCAAAAAAAAATCCAACTGTCCCCAGTACACTGCAGCAGCACGGCAGCAGCAGTCTCTCCATCCCTCCCGTCCCTGTCTCCCGCCGCCCTCAGCTGTACATACACCGCAACAGGCGCTGCACAGCTCGAGGCTTCGTAAGGCCTTCGCATCCACGAAGCCCCCCCAAAAGTATCTCTTCCTTCGTTTTGTTTGTTGGTCTTCTCTACAGAAGACAACGAAGCCCACTGTGTCCTTGCGTGTCAAGCTGCCAAGTGCCCACCTAATAAAAGGAAAAGGCAGCAGGAGCAGCAACAGCTGCTGCTGCTGTTGCTGCTGCTGCTGCTGATGTTCCCCTGAGGGGAGCCGGCGGCCAAGGGACTGCGGAGGTTGAACTGGCTGTCTCTCGCCAGTTCTTCGTCCCTGAAGCTGTCTTTCTTTTGAGCTGTATGCTTTATATATCTCCCGTTATATCTTTGTATGGAGTTCACTGTGTAGCTGTCTCCTTCATCCCATTGGAACAGCAATTAAATGCTGTCTCCCTTTGCGCTGTCTGCACAGCCGCAACTCCCGATAGCATGCCAGCAGCAGCCGCACTGCTCCCCCCACAATCACCAGTCGGCTCGTCAGCAGGGCCAATCCTGAGTAATGCAACCCAACAACAACTCATAACAGTAACTCCAAGCAGCAGCAGCGGTAGAGATAGCAGCAGCAGCGGTAGAGATAGCAGCAGCAACGGCAGAGAAAACAGCAGCAGCAACAGCAGACATAACATAGCAGCAGAAGCAGCAACAGCAGCGCCGGCCCGAGTCCACAGGGGAAGCGTCAGGGAGCTGCGGGACGCAGCAGCACACTGGGTGTATATGTGTGGCTGAGAGAAGTCCCCACCTAAACCTAAGACAAGGTAACTCGCTATGCTGCATGCACTTGCAGGCTCAGCCGCAGCCCACGCCCCCATCACCCACAGCGCGCCCACAATCTGAAGGCCCCGAGACAGACACACAAGCAAGATAACGAAACATATTCACCAACAGAGACAAACCCACGCAAAAAAAAGGCAGCTCCGCCATGCTTTTTTTACTCCCCTTGGCCCTTACCGAAGCCCCCAGCTATACTTGCGGCTATTTAGCTGTTGAGGATGCCATACGAAACCCAGAGGCAACTAGGGTGTATTAAGGTTTACGAGGGTTTAGGGTTTAGGGTACGGCTTGGGCACAAAGCAGCAAGCAAACAGACACTCACCACCTCACGCCGCTCGCATAGCCTGGAGTGGTAGTACACACAGGCGGAGACAGCCTGTCGAAGCGCATGCTGCATGCAAAAAGCCCCACAGATACACTTGTCTCTCTGTCTCCCCTTGCCGCAGCTACAGCTCCTGCAGTCTCCCCCCCCTCCCCCCTCGCACTCTGTCTCGTCGTTGTTTATAGGGCACCTCCTGCTCCGCAAGTTGCCGCAGCAACTGCCGCAGCTGCTACCGTGTTGCTACTGTGCTGCTGTGCTGCTGTGCTGCTGCTGTGGTGATGGTGCTGCTGCATATCTTACGTGGCCTTGGCGCACGCGCAGCTGCAGCGGAGGCGGCACTGCAGCAGATAGCAGCGACCGCAGCAAAGATGTCTCCGCGCAGTTCTCTGATTCGCTGACTTCAAAGGCCTTAAGAGACCCTGGGCGGCCCCTTTGGCGGGGCCCCTCAGCAGATATTCCCCTGTCTCCTTCGCGTCCTGCTTCTGCTACGGAGGCTGCTGCTACTGCTGCCGCTGCTGCTGCTGCGGCGCTGTCCCCCCTGCCAGCTGAATAAGCCTCCTCGGGAGGAAGCGGCAGCTGTATGAAGGAGACAATCAGCAGCAGCAGGCCCTGCATGCAAACAGCAAACACACAACGCAGAGCCTGTCCCTCATAAGCGGGGACGGAAGCGGAGAGGGGCATGTACAGGCACCTCTTTATACGCTTTATGCGTGCAGCGGGGCTCCGGGGTATAGGGTATAGGCCTTACTGAGAGAAACAACAGAGCAGCAGGCAAGAAACACGGATGCTTCCATAGAAAGACAAACGCTAAGAGACACGCAATACTCAGCACTGGCCGCTCCCAATACACCGCGTCGTATACCCCTGCAGCAAGCACCCGCAGAGGCCTGAGGCGCAGAAGCAGCAGCAGCAGTAGCACCAGGAGCAGCAGTTCAGTTCGTGCTTCACCGTAAGGCAAATAATACAAAGGTTTCTTTGCCGCGACCGCAAGGAGAGCCTAGAAAGAGGAGACGCCCAGCATACAGAGCGAGAGGCTGTCGGCTGCTGCAGCCCCAACTCCACTGCAGCAACAACCCCACGCCTCTGCAGCAGCAGCATCAGCCGCAGCACCAGCAGCACAGTACCCTTCAGTGAGCTTCCTCTGGGCATCCTGGATGTCACTCCAAACTGCAGGGAAGTTAAGCGGCGGCAGCGCTGCCTCTTGTGTCTCCTGTGGGGTCGGCAGTAACAACGCGGAGACCTCATCAAGTAAGGGAATGGTGCTGCACTTTGAATCCTTGTGCGGCAGCAGCTGCAGCATCAGCCGCAACCGACAGCCAGCAAAGTCTCCCTCCCCCTCTCCCTGTTGCTGCTGCAGCTGCAACTGCAGCTGGTGCTGCAGGTCCTTCGCAATCGCCTCTTCGTCAAGCTCGACTGTATACAACGACGAGGCCTCTGCTTCCATGGCGCTGCTGTTGCTGCTGCTGCTGCTGTTGCTGTTACGGCGGCTGCTGCTGCTGTGCTTGCAGCTGCCGCTGTGCTCGCCGCAAACGCTGCAAGGAGACTCCTTGATGAGGGCCCGAGTGTCTTGCGAGCGGTGCAAATAACGACTGCCTTGCAGCACCGCAAATGCCTCTTCCTTTCCAGACAAGACCCCATCATCGAGTACAGCGAAGGGCGCGAACACAGTTCTGAGAAGCAGCAGCAGCAGCAGCAGGAAGAGCAGCAACCTGAAGCTACTTAGGTTACAAGACCCCACAAGACACGGCAAGGCGAGACTAGAGGGATACAGAAAAACACATAGGGGGCCCGAAGAGACAATCTCAAAGGAAACAAGAGCCGATAGACGGGAAGTAAATGAGGGGTAAAAGGAGACAAAGGTGCACTGGAAAGACGCAGTAGCCACATGGAGACAAAAAGGAGATAGCTTAGATGGCCTGGACGAAGGGGTAGGGTGCAGCAGGAGTTCGGGGGAGAATGAAGGAGGAGGAGACAGAAAAGAGGAGGCAGCAAGACAAATGGGAGACCAAAAGGAAAAAAAAAGCCGTATGGCACTCACGTAATGTCGTATATGCGCTGCGGCAGCAAAAGATGAAGATGAAAGTCCGCAGCCCCCAGCAATTCGTCTCCACCAACAGCGGAGGTTGAGGTGTCTCTATCATACAGCGCTAGCCGCAGCACGCTGTACGGCTGGTGTAGCTGCAGCACCCAATCAGCAGCAGCAGCAGCAGCAGCAGCAGCAAGGTCACCGAAGTGTTTCGCAGAGAACGAAACGTAAACAAACGGCAGCAGCAGCAGCAGCAAGACCGTCGGCAGCAGCAGCTGGCAAGGCTGCAACAGGGAAATAAGCAAAAACAGCAGCGCTCAACGCAGCAGCAGCAAGAAAAGCAGCAGCAGCAGCAACAGCAGTAGCAATAGCAGCAGCTAAAGGGCCTACCTGGATCTCAATCCTTTCATTCCAAACTCCTTGGAGACAGTCACTGGGCCTGGTCGAGTCGCAGTGCAGCACTGCGCTGCGGTATATGTCTCGGCCGTTGAGGTTCACCACAACTGCAGCAGAAGTAGCAGCAGCAATGGCAGCAGGAGAAGGCAGGCGCATGCATGCATTCACATGAGGAGACAGGCGCATGCATACGTATCCGAAGCAAGCAGCTCCTCTCCCTGCATCTACGCAGGGATCATTCAATATGGAGTCTATGCATATACCCAAATACAAGTCTATATATATACACATATACATATATATATAGTTGAGTCTACACAAGCATACGTACTGGCATGCCTATGCAAATAACTCCATGCAGATATAAAAGTATATAGTTATGAACTAGAGAGAGAAGACGGTTAAGTCTGGGTCTAGCGACAGCCTGAAGATGTGCATGTATGCATGCATGCATGCGTCTCCAACGCAGCTGCATCGCTAAGTGTCTCCTTTTTCGTGGTTTGTCTGGAGGGAAAAGGAGGAGGTACGCACTGTACGGGCGATAAGGGACATGCAATGCGGGTTGAGGCTCCTCTGCTGTCTCCGCTGTCTCGTGAACTCTGTCGCCTGTCTCTTCAATGAAAGCTTCCTCATCCAGTATCTCCGGCACCACATAACCCAGCAGCAGCTGCAGCCGCGCGTACCCCAGCTGTACATACACCCCAAACAGCAAACTGCACACGCAACAACAATCAACACAGCCCGCATGCAAGCAGCTTCCACAGGCAAACAAACCCTTAAACATAAACCAGAGGCACTGTAGCCCTACAGCCTTGAAGGAGACTACTGTAGCGGTTCGGTAGCTGCATTTGCTGCTATTGTCCACGAAGCTAAGGCTTTCCGCGTCTCCATTTGTCCCTGAGGCTCATCGCTATGTGGTATATTTGGTGGCCTTGTCTCTGTCTCTGTCTCTGTCTCTGCTTCCGAGTAGAAGATATTCTGTCTCCGTTCCCGTCTCCCTTTCTGCCCCCTTAACTGTCTGTGTCCTCCTCTGCCCCTGCATCCATCTCCGTCTGTGTCTCAATTGTTACACCTATCTCTCTGGCAGTCTCCTTCTTAGCGTCTCTATGTCTGTCTCTTTTCCTGTTCTATCACCGAGCAGTCTCTCTCTCTCTGTCCCTGGCTCTGCCCGTCTCTCTATCTATCTGTCTCCCTCTCTCGCTCTCTCTTTTTCGCTCTCGCTCTCGCTCTCCGTCTCAGTCTCGGTGTCTCTTCTGTGTCTCTTCAGGGCTTTATAGGGCTTTACCCTGCTTGCAGCATTTGCTGCTTCCTCAGGCAGTGCAAGGCAGGCCACCCTACTGAACTTCTTAACAGCAGGGAAGGCCCGGAAGGCAGCAGTGGGTTGTCTCCTTGGGGACCGTCGATCCCCAGCGTTCCCGCCTCCAGAGGCGTCTCCAGTCCCACTAGGAGACCCTGGAGGCGACCCCGTGCTTCCTGCTGCAGCTGTTCCCGTTGCTGCTGCTGCTGCAGCAGCAGCAGCAGCAGCCGTTCCCCCGCGGGACCACCGCTGCACAATGGCTGCGCCCTCAGGCAACACGCAGGGGCCCCACATATCTGAAGACGATCCCGAACCCTGCACCCGCATTAGCGCTAGAGAGGCGCGCCGCGAAGAGACACTCCACATCGTGGAGACACCCGAGACGCTTCAGCCTCTCCCAGTGCTAACGAGACAAATCCCAGTGCTAACGAGACGAACAAGCAACATATACACCAGGAACTACAGAAGCTCTGCGCACAACCCAGCAGCAGCAGTAGCAGCAGCAGCAGCAGCAGCAGCTCCCCAAGGAACGGGAAGCGCCGGTGCTGGGATCAAAGACGAACGAGGAGGGAAGAGAAGCAAAAGCTGCAGAAGCAGCAGCAAAGCGGGTCCTCCTGCTGCTGCCTCTTCCTTCCTACAAGCAGCTGCTGCCTTGGCCAACGAACAGCAGTAGCCACAGCAGCAGCAGCAACGACAACAACAACACCAGCAGCAGCGGGGGAGACTCCGCTGGCACCACAGCCGGGCCGCAGGCGTTGCAAGCCCTCGAGCGACTCAAAGCGCACACACCGGTTTTGCTGCTGCTGCTGCTGCTGTTGCTGCGGTTGATATTGCTGTTGTTTCTCCTGCTATTGCTGCTGTTGTTACTGCTGGTGCTGTAAGCGACGAAGCCCGCCGCGCACACTAGAGGAGTGCAGCAGGAACTGCAGCAGCAGCGCAGCAGCGGTGGCAGCAGCAGCGCTTGCAACCTGTGTGCCCTAGACAGGGGAATGAGACCCAGAAGCCCTGCGAAAGACAGAAGAAATGATAGAGAGCAACAGCCTCGAGACGTCGATGCTTCTGCTGCTGCTGCTGCTGTTGCTGCTGCTACTGCTGCAAGCCGCAGCTGGGGAGTTGTTTAAGGGCGCCTCAACTCAAAGAGGCAGAAGTTGCAATTAATAATCAATGAGGCCTCTTTACGCAATACTCCTCGCAGGTTCTGCAACAAACTCAATTTAGAGCAGTCGTAGCAGCAGCAGCACAGGCAGCAGCAACAGCTGCTGTTGCTGCTGCTGCTGCTGCTGCTGCCTCGGGCCCAAGGCGGCAGGGCCCTCTGTCTCCAGTTACTCTAACTACCGCTTCTTGCTTTCTCTGCTGCTACGACGACAAACTTAGCAGCAGGAATTTCTGTTTTTTCTATACAAACAGAAGAGGCCTTTTATTGTGCGGTCTGTACTGTCTGCGTGCGCTGCTGCTGCAAGCCCCCTACAACAGCAGCAGCAGCAGCAGCAGCAGCATAAACAACAGCCTCATCTTCTGCACTCTTCAGGGTACCTCTCGATGGGCCGTTGCATCCTCCTCCCCTAACAGCAGCAATTCGAAGGCCTTAGCCATAGAGCAGCAGCAGCGACGGGAAGGGGCGTAGCAGCAGCAGCAACAACAACAACGGTCGTGCATCAGCAACAACAGCAACAGCACCAACCCTTGCATCAGCATCAGCAGCAGCAGCAACAGCAACAGCAGCCTCAGCATCAACGGCAACTCCGGGAACAGCAGCTACTTGAGATCTTGAGGCTAGAGGCTTATGGGCACCGTGCTGCAATGGCAGCAGCAGCACCTGGGGGCGACCCGCCCCTGTCTGTACACCGCAACGCCAACCTCCCTGGGACGTTAGCAGCACCAGCCACTGCTGCAGCAGATGAGCCTTGTCAGTCTTTGCCTGTCTTTGCATCCGGGGATGCACAGCTGGAGCAGCGGTTGCTGCAGACGTTTGCTGCGCTCAGAATACCAAGGGATCCACCTGCTGCTGCTGCTGCTGCAGGTGGTGCTGCTGACAGTGGAGACACGGAGCACCAGCACATGAGAGCTGTTGCTGTTCCGCCTGCTGAGGAGCAGCAGCCACCTGCTACAAGGCAGACCCCTACAAGGCAGACCCCTACAAGACAGACCCCTGCAGCAGCTGCTGCTGCCTCTGCAGATTTGGCTGCAGGTTCAGTAGAAACTGGTACAGCAAGAGGAGCAGAAGCATCTACCGTTGCTAGCAGCAGCAGCAGCCCGACAACTCCGACCGTTGACAGTCCACACCCAGCGAGCCAAACTTCAGCAGCAGCAGCAGAAACACAGGCAGCATCAGCAACAGCAGAAGTAGCAGCAGGGGCGTCTGACGCTGCTGCAGCACCACGTGGGCGTGGGGCGGAGGAGCAGCGAGTGGTGCTGCTGGAGCGACCCGCTGCAGCTCGAGGGGAGTCCCCTGGGGCTTGCAGTGAGGCTACTGACAGCACGCGGTGTACAGACGCCGCAGATGTTGTGCGGCCTCCATCATTTGGATCGTGGAGATATTATTCTTTAGCAGATGTTTCTGACGAAGCAATGAGTGCTGCAGGCATGCAACGGGCCTGCCAGCTCATGCTGCAGCAGCTGAGACGTGCTGCTGCTGCTGCTGCAGGGACACCCTCCCCAGATGCTGCTATTACGGGTCCTGCTGCTCCTGCATCTTCTGCACAAGCAGCAGCAACAGCAGCAGCAGAAACAGAGCCCGAAGACCCGCGAGTTCGTGTGGGGCCGCGGCGACGGGGCTAAGGCCGTTAAGTTGCAGCTCAGCATAACGGAGACTGTCTCGTTTTTTATTTTGTTCAAGTAAACAAATTTGTTTGTTTGTTTGTTTGTTGGTTTGTTTCTGCTGCTAGCTGGCAGGCGAGACATTTGTCTTCGTTCTAAGGGCTTCCTCAGATGCCTCTGGCGTTTGCGGGGAGGAGGCAGACACTCCAAACCCCAAACCCTTACCTGTCTCCTCTCTCTGACTACTTCATTCTTTAGGGCGCTGACGCCTCTCTCGCGCTGCCTAGACACCTAAACTTGCCTGCAAAATTCATGCGAGTCTCTTCTCATGCGTTTTTAGCTGTGGATAGAAAAGCACTCCCGTCGGTGCATGCGTAAATATATATATATATATATATATATAATGAATATATGCGTGCAGCTATGTGCATGAAAGTACGCTTAGTAAGGTACGCTTAGTATATATATTGTATAAATGTACATCTATATTTATAAGGCACACTAGGAAAGCGCGCTGAACCACAGCAAAGAAGACGAATCGGGTACGGCCTTAGGCTGCTGGGCGTCTTAAGTTGGAGACAGTCTCCTGGTGAAGTGTCTCCGTGGACTGTCTCCTAACGAGCCGTTCCCCAGCAGGCTGCAGGCTGCCCTGTCTCCTCAGAAGGTTCATATATAGAGGTACATTTATAATAGATAATTGTACATGTAACGTATATATATATATATGCACATAAAGGTACATTAATATATATGCATATAAAGGCACATTAGAAAGCCACCTCCAACTGTCCCGTACTAAGCCTGCCTCCTACTGGCAATTTGTATCTTAATGTATTGTCTTATATTAAGGTGCCTCCTACGACACCGTCTGTACGCAGACTGTCTCCTCAGGGACTGTCCCTCCGGAGATTGCGTTCTAATAAGCTGTCTCCAGCTTAACTGTCTCCTTATCTGTACAGTCGCCTGACAGACCAACCCCCGCTAGGCAAGCCTTTCCGCTGCCACAATACAAACATTGTGCCCCAGGTACTGAACTGTTTCCTGAGGGATTGTCTGCTGATGTTCACTGTCCCCAAAATGCCGTTCTATAGGAGATTGTTTTCTAGGACTCTCTACCGGGGCTGGGTAGAGACTGTCTCCTCGCAAGCTGTCTCCTAAGACGCCGGACCCCCGTATACTATTGCCCTGAAAACCGGCTAATAGCGGCCGTCTCCTGAGAGACAGACTCTCCCCTTTGGGGTGTCTGTCCCCAGAAGAACGAGTGGCAGCAGCACTGCGGCAGGGAGCCACAAAGTTGCGCTTTAGACAGTGTTAGTGAATGCAGGAGACGGTTTTGCTGCTGCCTCTTACTGCTCGCTTGCTGCAGTTTAGAGACGCTTGATAAGATAGGGTTAAATAAGGGTTTAGAGTCTCTGGGCTGGAGCCACAGTCAAAAAGCTGTCTCCTTCGGGTCGCTGTGGCTCCAAAGGCCCCGAGGTTCCCTCAGAAGTAACAGCAGCAGTAACGAGCTGCTAGCCAAGACAGACCGTAAAAGACAAAGACACAATACACTTGAGAGTGTAAAAGGGGGAGCAGAGACACCAGAGGAGACGAAAAAAGGAGACAGACAGCGGCATCCCAGCAGAGCAAGAAAGCCGGGAACGCACAAAATCCCTTTGTAGGCCCCCCCATATATCTTCCTCGTGGCCTTGCCTACCCTTATCAAAGATGGCTCTGTAGCCTCAGCTGTCTGTACACCTCAGCTGTCTGGACACCCCAGGTGTTCGTACACTTCAGCCGTCAGCTAAAGGCCAGGCTGAGTTGTGGCTCGAGAGCCTGATGATGTCCCCCTGCAGTATTTTAGGGACTAAGGAAGAAGGGTGAAGAGACGTAAGTGTGTTGCGGGCCGCCGCGAAGACCGGTGGCCAAATGATGTCTCCGTAAGAAATGGGGTGAGCCCTCAGCATAAAATATATATTGTCGCTGCTGCGAGGTGTGGAGACTGCAGCAGCAGCTGCAGCAGCAGCAGAAGCAGCAGCAGGATCGGTCCCTGGAGACGCAGTAGCAGGGGCATCGGTTGGTGTCTGTGGGCATGTGTCTAGTTTGTCTGAGTGGAGCAGTTTGCAACGAGCATTATTGCTGCTGCAGCTGTTCCAATTGCTGCTGTTGTTGCTACTATTCCACCTGCTGCTGCTGCTATTGTTGTTGCTGCTGCTGCTGCTTTGTTTGTTGAGGGCCGTGAGAGGCTCGAAGGAGACACCGGCGGGGAGGAGGTGTGGGGCCGCCGCCCTGAAGGCGAGGAGACACGTGGGATAGGCAAGGAAGAGACAGACAGCGAGCCGGAGCAGCGCATGCGACCCGAAGACAAGGAGCCAGAGAAGGAGATAAGAAATATAAAACACCAAAGTTGTGGGGAAGAGACAAACTGTAATTGTAAACAATATACACCCAATCAGCAGCTGGTCCATCTGCAAGTCCGCTGAGTCCACACGCCGGCGCAGCACATTCCACTTCTGTCCCCTGCATGCAGAACCAAACAAACAAATAGAGAAATGAACAAATAAATACGTAAATATAAACAAATATATTAAACTAAAAAACAAAACAAATAAGCTGACTGAATAAATAAATAAAGAGAACAAACGAACAGAACAAAAAAACAAACAAGCGGACACATTGAACCAGCAAGTAGAGGAATCAAATAAGCAGTTAACCAAACACATAGGCAAACAAACAAATAAGCAAGCCAACAAATAGAGACCAAACAAGCAAAGATGCTGAGACAGGCCAAACACAACCAAACAAAGACAAGGGGATATCCCGCCAGCACAACAATAAATAAAATAAACAGAGCCCACACGCCGTAAACAAACAACAAGACATCTCCCCAAGCGAGACGAGCCACGATCAGCTCCTAGTTGTTCTGCTTCCCCAGACACCCCAAGGCATACACTCCACATCAAACAAACGAAGACACCCCACAAACAAACAAAGACACGGAGACACCCCACAAGCCAATAAAGACACGGAGACACCAGCGCGACCAGTGGTCTTTTTAGTGGCCAGCCAGCGCTGCTCCTTGGGGCTCGCTGCCCTCCACAAAGGGCCTTGGCTGTCTCTCAAGTAACAATATTTGCTATCAGCGATGCTTCCCTTAAATGCTGCTGCTGTACTAATCTCTGCGTCCTAGTAAGGGAAGTACCCCCTTAAAGCCACCAACGCAGCAACTGCAGGGGCTGCGCTGGGGCCCCCTCTGGGCCTCGTGAGAACTGAAGAGAAGGCCTTCGTTATAAGGCCTCAACTACAAGGCCTGCTGTTCGCGTCAGCTGTCGAGGCAGCTGGCTTCCAAGGAGTTAAAAGGAGACAGACAGTTGGGGGAGGGGTGGAAGCAAGGGAGACAGGCATTTACCTGAAGAGAAGGAAGAGCGAATGGAGACTCTTTAGGTTGACGTGCAGCAACCTAGCGCAGACCAGGTAGACGTAGAAGATATGCAGTGTCCCCACCATCAACAAGTCCGCAGATGCAGCAGCAAACAGAGACGCAGAAAGCCCCAGCCACCCCAACCGGAACGTCATAAGCAGTGAGCCCAGCCCTGTCTTCAGCCACAAGTGGCACGCGCTCCATATCCTTACAAACGCGCCCCACAAACCCCTGCTGCCGCTACTGCCGCTGCTGCTGCTGTTGCTGTTGCTGTTGGGGGCAAGGAGGGGTGGCTGGGAAGCAGCAAGTGTGTTCGGGTTGGTGGGAGCTGCCGGATGCTCGCTCTCTTGCTGCCAGAGCAATGACCGCAGAATATGCGAGACCGCTGCACCTATCTGGTTCAGAGAGTGTAAGAGGCCCGGTGGTTTGTGTTGGCTGTGGTGGTGGTGCGGCTGCTGCTGGTGCAGCTGCTGCTGCAGCTGCTGGAGCTGCAGCAGCAAACCTTGTTTGCGCTGCTCCGCAGTCACCACAGCGGAGTGTATGTACGCCGTGAGGTCATTCCATAAATGAGAGGCCGTCAAGACAACAGAGCCCAATACCCAAGTTAAGTTGGCGTTCAGCTTGAGGCCTGCGGGGAAGTCCATAAGCCACTGCACATGCGCTGTAAGTAAATCTACATGCAAAAAGCAGTAACACCCGCTGAACAGCCGCAGCAGCAAAGTTGATGTGGGCTCCGCCATCAGCTCCCGCCATGCAGGAGGAGCAGAACGAGACACTGCAGCAACAGCTCTTGCTTCTCCTGCTGCTCCTCCTCCTGCTGCTCCTCCTCCTGAAGCTGGGCATGCCCCTGACGGGGTGTCTGCTGCAGCGGAGCAGCTCAGCTCTCTCGAACCGTTCTGGGCCTTGCGGCTTCTTCCTGCTACCTCCACCCCAGAGAGATCTTCTTCCTTCTGTTGCTGCTGCGGCTGCCCCAGCTCTTGCAGCAGCAAGAGACGCTGCTGCTCGGTTTCCGTGCCGCTTCGTTCTGCCTCCTGGACAGCCTCCAGCTGCTGCTGCTCCAGTTGCTGCTGCTGCTGCTGCTCCTGCTGCTCGGTAGGGAATGGATACAGCTGTGCAGCAGCTGCTTCGCTGAGAGAGACAGGCCAAAGGGGCGGCAAAGCTGTTGGCTCTGAAGGCGGGTTCTTGAGGCGTGAGAGATACTCCGGTGAGCACGCATCAGCAGGAATGCCCCTATAAATGAGGACAGCGAGCAGCTGCGGAAGGAAGAGACCCAGCAGCACGTCTATCACTACAGCAGCAATTCCGGTGTATAGGCACAACGCGGAGACAGACAAACCACCCGTCAAGGACCGCCGGGGAAGCCGAGGATGAGGAGACACAAGGGCAGGCACGCACGTGTCGCCCAGCTGCAGCTTACCTGCTGCTGCTGCTGCAGCCGCCTGCTGCTGCTGCTGCTGCTGCTCCCTAAGGCTGCAGTCTTCCAGTGCAGCAGCAAACCGCCGCTTGCGACGCAGCGCCCCCGGCCACGACCCGCATATCCTAAACCTCATAACAATTTGCTGCAGTGAGGCAGAAAGCCACAGGTTGCTGCCAGGCGCAGCGAGGGGCCTCCACAGCCGCAGTGTACATACACCCCGACACAGTACGCCAACACACTGCGCCAACGACAGCAATAGAAAGCAAAACAACCAACGTAATGCAGAGAGACACCCAGAAAAACAAGCGCGAGGAACAGACTCAGATAAATCCTCCTCTCCCTCTTCCTGCTGCTCCTGCTGCGACGCAGCGCTGCACTGAGAGGTCCCAGCGCCTCCAGCCGCTGGCGTTGCTGGCGTCGCTGCTGCCGAACCTGCAGTTGCTCCTCCTCCTGCTGCTTTTTCAGTGTGCTGACGCAACTGCAGCAGCCTCCAGCAACGAAGCTGCTGCTGAATGCTGCTGTATACAGCAGCAGAGACGTTGAGGAGCGCCAGATAGGCCTCGAAACCGCACAACTGCTCGCTCTCGTCTGCCCGCTGCTGCAGCTGCAACTGGTGTTGCTGCTTCTCCTGCTGCTGCTGGCCACCTGCGCCGATGCCCCGAGCCACTTGCTGCAGCAGACGCCGCGCTGCTGTTGGCCTCTGAACGAAAGCGGCAGCAGCAGAAGCCTGTGCTGCATCGTGAGGAGCAGCAGCAAGGGTGCTGGTGCTGACCCAAGAAGGCAGCTTATACAAGAACACCACACAGCGAGAAGCAGCAGGTAGTGGTTGTTGTGGGGTTGTTGATGGTACGGGGGGGCCTTCCCCTGCTGCTGTGTCTGCTCCCGAGCTCCGCACTATATGCGTGCCTCCAGCAGCAGCTGCTGCTGCAGCAGGAGCAGCTGCATTGGCTCCTGCTGCTGCGTGAGAGACGACACTCAAAGGCACTGGAAGGCCTGAGGCCCCTTCTAACCAGAGATCCAGCCAAATGGCTATATGAAATGCCTCAAACCCAGATCTGTCCCACTCTTCTTGCTGTTGCTGCTGCTGTCGCTGCTGCTGCTGCCCCAGCTGCTGCATCAATAAAAGCACCTCGTCTTGTGGAAAGGGGCAAGTGGCCTTCAAGTCGCGTCCCCGCCACCAACCGATGAGCTCCACTGGCCGCGGCAGCACGTGGTAGTCAAAGACAATGTCGCCTTCATCTCCTTCCTTTCCTGTGCTGCTGCTCCTGCTGCGGCTACTACTGCTGCTGCTGCTGCTGTCGCCGCAGCTGCTGCTGCTGTTGTTGTTGCTGCTGCTGCATGTGCCTTGTTCGGGTTTATGTGGGGCTGATGACTTGAGGAGCCTTTCATTGAGCTGCTGCAGGAAGAGAGCGACGAGGTTCGGAGGCAGCGGCGGGAGGAGGCTGCAGGCAACGGCTGTTCCATCCGGCAGCCCCCACCCCACAAGCCATCCCCTGTCTGCCTCAAGGAGTGTCAGGGGACAGAAGAGCCGAAACAAAGGAGAGCAGACAGCAGGCAAGCTCGCAGCAGGCGGCCCGCCGCCAGCACCTAGCGCTGCGAGAGGAGGCACCAAGGTGGCTCCGCAGGCTCCCGTGGGGCGCAGTGGGTCCCGCAACGCAGCTGGATAATCCCCCGTTGCAGCTGCAGCGCAGACTGTGGGGTGCATGGCGGGCGAACTACTGCTGCTGCTGCTGTTGCCTGCTGGGGTCACTCAGGTGGTAGGGGGAGAGAAACGGAAGACAAGACGTTCATTTCGAGACGTCACAGGGTTGATCCTAATACATTACAGAAAGTACTAACGCATTTATATTATAAGCAGCAAGGGGGGCCACACTACTGTGGCGGCAGCGGCGGCGGCCGTAGATCGCAACTGTACATACACCATATAAAAAATACTGCTACCTAGGCCCCCAACAAACACAACTGCCTCTACAATAGAATACATGGATTCAAATATCTTCGCAGCGGCGTTAAAAGAAACAGCGGCAGCAACTGTAGAAACCGCAACAGCCGCAGAAGCAGCAGGAACGTACCCTGTGGCAAAGTGGATGACGGGGGGCCCCTGTCTTGAGGCCCTGCAGGGTGTCTGTAGCTGCCTTATTATCTGCACGAAGACGTAGTAGGAGATCCTTGTAAACTCATTTATTTTTAAAATTATTTTTCTGGGTAGTTCAAATGTACACCTCAAATTTACTCACGTACTTGCCTATAGCTCCTCCACCAACCCGTCGGTACCGTAATGAGACTCCCCTTTCTGCCGACGATCTTCATGACAGTGGCAGTAGTAGCAAAGGGTTCAAAAATGCTTTGGAGGAGTTTTCCTAGAAGTGTCTGAGCGCTTCTCCCAGTCACCAAGTGTAGAGTCATGGGAGTTGTTGCAATAAGGCTTGGGGATAATGCAGAGAGGATAACGAGAGTCCCAATACAACAACTGTCGTGAGCGACAGTGGAGCCAAAATACTCAAGGTAAGAGCTCCTTAAATGCAGTGGGCCTCCCCTCCAGTGTCCAGACTATCTGGCACAGTGGCCCAGGGGCATTTATTTGGCTAGGGTAGGAAGTTGCCTTACATGAGTCACAGCTCACCACGCTGCAGCTAGCGCTGCAAGGCGCCTTCACTTGCTTGCAAAGCCAACCAGCCTTTGCTGTTTGGAACAACGTCACCTTTTCAAGGAAGGGGGAAGCTCGCCAGTGTCTGCCGCGAGCCCCCGGAGGTATACTAAGTGCGTGTCGGTCATCCTTCATCCGGTCTAGCAAATCTTCAAGGGGTTCCTTCTAATGACTTTAAGGTTTTGCCTTTTCTTCAGACGTTCTCTGGAGAAGTTGAGACGGGGGTTCTACCTATGGATGAATATTGTTACGTTCACATTCATTTTCTCTCGCTGGTTTGTCTCGTTTTTGGGTTCCACGGAGGACAAGGAATGCGCTTTCCAGCCCAAGAAGGAGGGCCTTGCTCTCAAGTTACCACTCAACATTGTAGTACTAGGCCTCTAATTGTTCTGCCCAACCATTAGAGAAAGACTTATGCATGACAGGTAGTCTTCTTTGATCTCCGCGGGACCGCGCTTCCAGAGGGGTTTCTACCTGCTGCGATTCTTGTGTGACCTCTCTGAATTTCTTCGCCTTTTCCCCTTCTTTTCTTCAGGGGACTTTATTTAGCCACAAGAACCATACAGAGTGTGGCCTTCTCTCTTGACCGCGTAGGAGATGTCCTTTGCCTGGATTGTTTGGACTGTTTCCCTGCTCGCGTGTTCAGCGTAGGCGAAGGAGCCCTTGATGATACTGTAAAGGAAGACCTTCAGCACGTTTCTGATCTCCCTTTACATGAGACCTGAGGTTCGCTTAGCACTTCCTCTCCCGCCGGAACAGCGAACAGCAGGTTTGGTGTTGCCTTCATCTTTGCCACAAGGATAAAACGACGCCAAGCTGCTCAATCATAAAAATGGTTCCACTCACTAACAGCGCGTCTATGAACGCCTTGCTGCCCGAATGCGCTGCTGTGCGAAAGTTGTTCACCAGCCTGACTTGACCAGGTCTTTAGGCCCATATTGTTCCCAGTATCCATTGATCGGTGTAATATACTACTCTTTCCACCTTCTGAGGAAAACGCTACTTGCAACAAAGCCGGCAGCGGCTGAATCAGACAGTATTTTGGCTGCCGCTACCGTTGCTGCTGCTGGCACTGACGATGTTTGCTGCTGCCATTGATGCTGTTGCCATGGTTGCTGCTGCCGCTTGTGGGCATCTGTCGCTCATTTCTCCTTGGGACCCTGCTGCTATTCCGTTTAGCGCAGACGATGAACATGCCGTTGGTACGTCTAGGAGGAATGGAAGCAGGGTCTTAAGGAGAACTGAACGGCAGACGTTGCCTAACGGCAGCATTGCAAGTAGACCTGAATATTGTCTCCTGGAAGTAGCATGCTCACCCTTCACTGGCATGCCTAGGATAATGTGGTGAAAACGTGTAACATCGAAGCCCTGCATTGACCTATCTCTGAACTGGTCTAGCATTTCATGCCAATGCTTCTGCCGATTATAGTGTCCTGTCAATCATCTGCGAAGCGTACACGCAGAGGGCGAGCCAATGAATACAGAGGAAGGATGCGCCTCGCCGCTGCAGTTTTAGACACCAGATCCGCTTCGCTGCTTGTGCCTAGAAGAGCCAGCAACTCCTGACAAGCGACTCAAACAAGCACAGCGTTAACTCGGAGCGGATCTGCTGGTGCGGTTGTCATTTCTTTCGGCTTCATTGGGCCGCACGTTGAGTGGGCGCCAAGGCGATTGACTGTTCGCTTGGTTGGCCCCTAAGGGTTTGGCCCCATCGACGTGCGGCTCGGAGTCTTGCTTCTCCAGTTGCTTCGGTCTTTTCCTGCGTCTGCAATATCCAATAGTGTAACATTATTTAGTACAAAAAAAAGCTGATGAACGGCTCGCTACGTCTCCCTGGCTTTCTGAGTGCCGAATTCTCCTGCTGTTGTTAGTTTCACCTGCGAGTATTTGTCTGAGTGGGGCTGGCAACTGCAGTTCCGGTATCGATGGTGTCTCTATTTGCTTCATTTCCAAGTCTGCTTTTCTTCTCTTAGCCACCGCGATGGAAGGGGCGTTTTCTCTCTGTTTTGTGCTTGTTTCGCCACCTCGGTAAGGTTACCAGAGTTCGCGGTCCGCCCCACGACTTTTTGCCTATTCCCTCTCTCTTGGAATCTGTTCTGTAGTAAATGCTTATGTAGCAGTTTTGGGTCTGCGGTTGGACATGTGTTCACCAAATAGTGATACTTCTTGATTTAGCTCTCTGTCGATGGCTTCCGTTGTTGTCTTCTCATTTCTCCTATGGCTCGTTCCTTGCCGGCTCGCGAATAAACCTACATCTCATTGCATATCGGAAGGTTTCCATTCTTCTGGTTTGGTCCGGAAAGATGGTGCCTTACGGAGATAAAATGGCCATTCTCTTTCCTCCCCTTCTAAGAATAAAGTTCCCAAAAGCACGTATAGCTCTTCGGGTATAGTGTTTTAGGGTTTAGAAACAAGGAACTTGTCCACTGCCCCAGCATCGCGGCGCGACGTGACAGCTGGACGATCGGTAAGGGAGGAGGCATCCTTCATGTACTGTCTTGCTGTGAAGACATTTTCCTTTGGATCGGATACCGATAAGGATTTGGTGCGAGCTAACCAGCAGATGCTGATCAATCTTGTTGATGCTCGAGGAGGAAAGGACTAAGGTTCTGACATAGATCTCAGGTGAGCATCTTCAGTTCTCTAAGCTTTTTGAAGCAGCTTCGGTACTACTCAATACCATGTATGCATTGGGCCTCACCCCTATGGGGGTGGGATGTGTTACCCGCACCCATCCTGCCGCGAGCTGCAGCTGACCGAAAAGATTTACGATGAGACACCCCGAAAAGTAGCTGACTTCTCCAATCCCCAGATGTGCTGGACACAGAGAGGCCCAAGGGGCTGCTTAGCACTTGTTGAGAGGGTTCACCAAGGGTGAGCTGCAACGCGCTGCCCTGCAACTAACGTTGCGAAGCGACCTCCTATACAAGCATAACCAAACTCTGCTTTGCTGTCTGCTCTAACACTGTAGACAATTGCTGTACTTCAGCATGCGTGCCGTCTGCCTTCTAAGGCCCGCTAGGTGTTGGCGTTCCATCTTTAGAAAAGCCGTGTTGCATCCATAATGCATGCGTTGTCTGATGCCGATTGCTCCAAAGGCACACTAGACCAGCAACAACAACCGCACAAGCTAGCACAAGGGCAAATCAACACACTGTAATCATTAAGGCAAAAACTGCTTGAATGTCTTAGTTCCCCGCCACATTACAAACTGCAGCAATGAAGGCTGCGGGGCGACGACGGCCAGGCTGCTGCAGCTGCTGGAGTAAAGGAAGAAGTTAAAAAAACGCAGATAGTGAACAAGCTTTTTTCCCTGGGAAGTTCATAAGTATGGACGAACTCAGGATTCTCTAAGAATCATGTAGCTGCAGCAGCAGCCAAGAGGCTGCTGCTGCAGCAGCAGCAGCGGCACCGCATGGGCTGCTGCAGCAGGAACATCATCATCTGGTGCTGCGTGCAGCAGTCCATCTGCCCCAGGACCTTTGCATGTTAATTGCTTCCTTTCTTTCTACTTAGCTTGGGGGTTGTGGCAGCATCAGCAGCACCAGCAGTAGTGGAGCAGCAATAGGAGCAGCCGCAGCAGCAGCAGCAGCAGCTTCCGCATAGGTCGCGGGAGGGAGCTCTTCTGGGGAGGGGTTCTGATTTTAAACGAAGTGTCTATATACTTGGAAGGAAGGACGCGCGCCCTCAGCGGCGTATTCTTGTTTTTGTCGTCGTGGACCCCGGTAGCAGCAGCAGGAGCAGCAGCGGCAGCAGGAGCAGCGGCGGCAGCGGCAATCCGTCACGTCCGTTTTCCCACAGACTAGTTCACCTTTTGGCGTATTCGCCTTTGCTTGTGTTGCTGCTCGTGGCTGTTTAGGCGCTGCATCCTTACCAGAACCAGGAGCAGCAGAAGGCAGCAGCAGCAACGGCAGCAACAGCGGCAGCAGCAACAGCAGCAACAACAAAATGACGGCGGAGGTTTTCACCCGCAACGGCTTTGATATGGCCAGCGCTGCAGCAGCAATTGCCAGCAGCAGCAGCGGAGCCCCGAAGCGGCTGCAACAGCGTATAGCAGAAGAGTTACGGGTGTCTTACCTGACCCCCAGCGGTGGGGCGAATGATAGCAGCAGCAGCAGCAACGGTCACCACGGCAGCAGCAGCAGCAGCAGCAAGAATGAAGACGACGCTGACGATGCGCAGATCCTCGCTGAGTACATTTTGCATTTGCTGCTACGCGAGAAGGCGCCAACGGATCGTCTTCTGGAGGAGCTCAAGGAATTCCTAGGGCAGCCAGTGAGCAGGCTTGCTGCAGCTGTGCCTTTAGCTGCTGCTGCTGCTGCGAGTGGTGGCAATTGCCGAATGCCTCTGGTGCAGTTTGTGCTACTGCTGCGGCTGCGGTCTTCTTAAGATCATTTGACTCGCCCTCTTGTCTTTATGTCTTCTCCATTCTGTGTCCCTCTGGTTGTTGCAGCAGCTGCTGCTGTCACTTCTGTGGGGTGTTTATGCAGGCTGATGACTTCACTCGCTGGCTCCAGCGGGAGCTGCAGCAGCAAAGTGCTGCCTGCAGCAGCAGCAGCAGCGGGAGACACCGCAGCAGCAGCAGGTCAAAGCATCTCAGCAGCAGTAGCAGCAAGCACGGCAGCAGCAGCAGCAGTGCGAAGCACTCAAGCACGAGCGATGGGACGTCGCGCGGGTCTAGCAGCAGCAGCAGCAGCAAGCAGGGCAGCAGCAGCAGACATGGTAGCAGCAGCAGCAGCAGCAGCAGCAGCCACAGATACAGCAGCAGCGCGCAGCATGAAGCATCTCGCGGGGAGGGGCGTGGATCTCGAAGTGACAGTGGGGCACAGCACAAGCAGCAGCAACAGTAGTAGTAGCAGCAGCAGCAGCAGCAGGGGCAACTTGTGTGGCTGCGGCAGCAGCAACAGCAGTATATCTTTGTAGGTGAAGGAAGCATGTGATGCAATGTCTTGTGCTGCAGCGATCTCCCGCCGCCTCATCCTGATGCGCGCCGCAGAGCAGGCCGTGAGTCAGCACCGCTACCGTAGCAGCAGCAACAACAGCAGCAGGGTCAAGGTTGTTTGGTTGTGTTAGTTGCGTTCTGAGTGCGCGGCATTTGCTTGCGCCTGTTGTTGTGGCTCTCCTTGATATGCGTTATTGCTGCAGAGGGCGACCTTTTGTTTCTGTTGCCTTTATATTCTTCTGCAGCAGACTCTGCAGCAGAGTTATGTCCATGAGCAATGCGTGTCTGCTGCGCCCGTCTCCTTGTTGCCTGTGGAGTTGTAGTTGTGCCTCCTTGCTTCGTCTGCTCCTTTCCTTTGCTTCCTTTCGCTTTGCTGCACTGTTCTGTCTGCTGCCGCATACTTGTGTTTTTTTTCTATGAGTGGGTTTGCTATGGTGCTGCTGGGGTGTCTGCGTGCATGCATGCAAAGGTGGGTGAGTGCATGCGCTGTTTGCATGCATTTCTTAGCCTGTATTTGGGGTGTCTCTGTTGTGTTGCGGTGTCTCTGTTCTGCTGCAGGCTGTCAGCAGCCGCAGCGGCACCTCCGTGCGTAGCGGCAGGTCGCATCGTTCCCCACCCCGTAGCCGCCGCAGCAGAAGCCGCAGCAGGAGCCGCAGCAGCAGCAACGGCAGCAAAACGCCACCTATGTCGCGCTCTATTTACCTCATGGGCAGCACCAGCAGCAAGGGGAATACGCCGTCCCCTTCATCAGCTCCTGTCTGGGTCACTGCTCCTGCAGCACACCCGCAGCAGCAGCAGCAGCAGCCGCAGCAGCAAACTCCTGGCGCTGTTGCTCCCGGAGACATTTTCCGGTCTCAGGCGCAGCAACCCACGGCGTACGAGATGCAGCAGATGAAACAGCAGCAGCTCATGCAGCAGCAGCAACTGCTCCAGCAGCAGCAGCAGCTGCCGCTGGTGCCTGTCGCAGCGACAGCTCCGGCAGATATGTCTGTCCCGGAGGCTGCGCTGCAGCGCGGCCCCAAAGCGATATTGAAGTGAGGAGGTGTTTCAGGGGTTTCTCTGCACCAGATGGTGTCTCCTTTGTGGCTGCTATTTGCATTTAATCTGCCGCCTTTGCCTTGCTCGCTTCCGCCTCCCTACATTTATTTACGCATCCTCCTCCGTCTGCGCCTGTCTCCGCTTTTAGGGGACTGAGAGCCGTCGATGTTTTGCTGTCTCCCCATTGTTTGTCTTTTTTCTCTCACTCTTTCCCTGCGCCCTAATTCTGAAGTTCCCGCTGCACCTGCTGCCGCTCTCGCTACTGCTGCTGCTGCTGCTGTGCGCAGGCCGAACCCCAGGTTTGTGGAGGCGTTCTTGGCTGCTGAGCACGGGGCCGTAGGAGACAGTCCCTTCCCTTTGCATGCATCTTCTGCCGCTGCTCCTGTAGCACATTCTATGCTGCAGCAGCCGCATCCGCACCAACGAATGCCGCTGCAGCAGCAGCAGCAGCAACAGCAACAGCAGCCACAGCAGCAGCAGCCCTACACCCACTTGGCGGGGGCTGGGGTTCCTCAGGCCAAAGTGAGTGTTTCCACTTCCTGCATACTCTATCTCTGCGTTATCTGTCTCCTTCCGTGTACGGCTCGCCGTTTTCGTTGGTTCTCCTTTGCCTACGCTCTGAACTAGCTGCTGCTGGAGCTACTGCTTAGCAGCTGCTCGAGCAGTTGCTGCTGCTGCTGTTCTAGCTGATGCTGCTGCTACCGTGGTAGCTACGGCTTTGGTTGGTGCATATAACAGTGATGTTGCTGTTGCTGCTACTGCTGCTGGTGCTGCTCGTGTTTTTCAGGTGCGGCGCCGCTGTTTGCGGTGGCCTGACTGTCCGTTCGGCACGAAGTGTAATTACATACACCCGGCGATTCGATGCGCAAACTTCCCGCGGTGTCCCTTCGGGTCTTCTTGTTTTTATTTGCATCCTCCAGTGAAATGCCGCTATGGACAGAATTGCCAGAACCCCAGTTGCAACTTCCTCCATCCCGAACGCCCCGTGAGCCCAAACCCTAAACCCTAATTCGTAAACCCTAGTAGCTAGGCCCTTTAGCCGCCTGCACGCGCAATTCACCAGTCGAGGGTGTCCTGAGTTGCTGTAGCGCCCTTCATCTTCCCTCTCATTCTGCTCTCTTCTTGCGTGCACGGGCTCCTGCTGCTGCCAGTTCTATTTTATTCCTTCTCCCTCAACGAGTGCTGCATGCACGCCCTCGATTATGTCTCATGCTTCCGCTTGCTTCAGGGGTGGATGGGGGAGTTAGGGGAAGATGGCCTCTTTAGAAACAAAGTCTGGACAAAGGACAGCCGTACGTACCTCGAGCTACTGGTGATGTTGCTGCTGCTCTTGTTGTTGTTGCTGCTGCTGTGGTACTCCACCTTGATCCAGTTGAACAACGGCAGCAGCTATTTGTTGAGGTTTATTGTTGCGTGTCACTTGCATTGCGTCTTTCAGAGACTGCTGCACCGGCAGCAGCAGCAGCAGCAAATTCCAGTGGGGGCGCCTCCGCGGCGCAGCAAAATGCTGCTGTTGCTGCGTTGAGCTTCACGCTGCCTTCTACCCCGCCATCGCTGAAGAGGAGGCAAGCAGCTCCGGAGCAGCAGGAGATGACGTCCCTGACCCTCCCTCCTGCAGCAGCAGACGGCGCTGCGGCTGCTCCAGCTGCATCGGGTACTGATGCTGCAGCTGCGGCGCCTGCTGCTGCTCCTGCTGCTGCTCCTGCTGCTCCCGTAGAGGCGGCGGACGGCGGAGACATTGAGCTCGACGGGGACGCGCCGGAGGCAGCTGCTATGGCAGAGGATGTCGCAGCCTCTGCCTGATAGCAGCAGCAGTAGCAGCAGCAGCAGCAGCATTGCAGCAGCAGTGCAGCAGTGTATCTCGGGTGTCTTGTGGCGGTGGGCTGCTGTACAGCCCAAGGGAGAGAGCGCAACTGCGCATGCGTCTTCTTTGCCGCGTGCGCATGGGGTCGTGGGGCTGTGGGGCTACCGTCCTCATTTCTTTGTTGCTTTCACTTGTGTGCAACGGAAAGGGCTTTCGGTTGCCGCTGCACTGCCAGCTGATGCTGCTGCTGCGGTGCTGCAGCTGCTGTTGCAGTTGCAGCAGGGGAGATCGCAGACCTCCCTTCAGTTAAGCGAGGGCGCCCCGGACAATAATTGAAGAGGGCACAACGAGCAGAGGGGCCCCTGCCTGGAGAGTCTGCTCCAGCACTAAAGGCGTAGCATCAAAGACGGCAACACCGCCATCCGAGCAAAGACACTACTTATTGCTTTTGGTTTGCTACTGCAGCAACCCGGCGTGCTGCTTCAGCAACGCCGCCCTGCTGCAGCAGCAGCGACGGTGTTGCTGCAGCGGCGCCGGCGTGAGTGTTGCTTTAGCAGCAGTAACGTGACTTGTGCTGCAGCACGAGCAAGACCTAAACTTTTGCCCCGGCAGTAGCAGCATAAGGTTTACCTCAGAAGCAGCAGCAGCTGGAAAATCTAGCAAATGCAGCATCCTTAGCTGTAGTGCGTCGACGTCGCTGCTGCTGCCTTGCTGCTGCAGCAGCGCAGCAGCAGCAGAAGCCACCCTTTTCCTTTAGGACAGGTTTAGGGTAGTCATTAAGACAGACAATAAAACAGGTGGACGCTATGGGTGTTGCTGCCTGCCGTCAGGCTACAACACCAGCCGAAACAGATGCTGTGCAGCAGCTGCACCATCGCTGCTGCTGCTGGGGTCGCCGCAGGCCCCTTCAGAAACAGCACGGAGGATAGCAGCTGCACTGCGCCGCTGAAGAAGTGCCAGCGGCGCAGCTAAACAGACAAAAAGCGGCAGAGGCAACAGCCAACGCAGTAACAGAAAAGACCATAGCTGCGAGCAGCAATGTATAGTAGTCCTGCGTACAGCTTTGCCAACAGACAGAAGGAAAAGGCCAGGGAGCCAACTTATGTATATAAGTCGAATACATATAAACATATATGTATATGTATATGTATATGTATATGTATATGTATATGTATATGTATATGTATATGTATATGTATATGTATTATATGGTAACCCAGGCGACGAAAGACGCACGGCGACACCTCAGAGAAGGCGGACTGCATGAGGCAGCTGAAGGGCCCAGTCCCCCAACAAGGGGGCCTGGTTGCTGCTGAGGACAATATCATATCTGCAGCACAGCATCAGCAACAGCGAAAGCAGCGGCAGCAGAAAGAATTATGTCCGTGCACCGGGGCGGGAAGACAGACGCTTGGAATCCATTTGTGCGCCTGAATGAGCTGCTCCTCTCTCCTTGCTTGTGCTTCGTGCATGCATTCATCATCTGGCGTACTTGTGTTCTGGAAGATTAGTAGTCTCCTTATGGATATGCTTTCTACGTGACTGTTTGCTTTCTCAGACCTCTGTATTGCCTGTTGTGCATGAACAGAATCGTGCCTTGCGCTGCAGCGCACAAGAAACAAGAAATACGACTGCGCTGCAGCGCAGTCGTATTTCTTGTTTCTTGTGTCGCTGTCCTCTCTGCTCTTTAGGGTTTAGGGTTTAGGGTTTGCATCTCAGTTTCAGTGTATCTGGGTCAACGGCTGCCTCTACAGATCTCTGTGTCTGTTTCTTTCGCTCTCTGGGTGTATGCATTAGTGCTTGCTTCCTTCGCAGTTGTAAGTGGCTCTTCTTCTCAAGCCTCTTTGGCTGTAATCTGTTTCTCTAATGTGGTATTAGCCTTCTTTCTGCTTCTATGACGGGCATTATTCTTTTCTCTCTCGCTCTCTCTCTCGCCCTCTCTCCGGAAGTGTTTTGCTTTCGTCTATCACCTAACATATTTGTTCGTACCCGTAGAGGTCGTGGCTGACGCTTGGCGGCGGGAGATGAAATTGCCGTGCTGTTGCTATTTCAACAACCGCAAACAAAACTCGTCTTACGCCTTTTTCCACCTCCTGCTGCTGCTTCACCCCCCGCGGCAGGTAGTCTGTGAAACGCTGCTGTTGCCGCTGTTGCTGCTGCTGCTGCTGTTGCGGTTGCAGGTGAGGAGCTTTTACAGCCGCTCCTCCTTTTGCAACTGCGGCTGCTGAGAGGCATGATGGCTTGCCTCTCACGTGCCTGCCGTGACAGCACTGGGTCGTGCTGCAGCAGCAGCTGCTGCTTTGACGACGAAGTCTGGTGCTGCCGCAGCAGCTGCTGCATTCGTGCGTACACCAACATATGGAGACAGGCAGCAACCACCGTTCGAAGGAAACCCTTTCTACAGAAGAGGAAAGAAAGCCAAAGGCTTTCGGTCGCTGTATGTACAGTACAACGGCCATCGTGTACTCGGCCTGAGGCTGCTGCCGCTGCAGGCTAGCCCCGCTCTCCACGAAGCCTGCGGCAACGCGCCGAAGATAACATTCGATGCACGCATGAAGAGAAGCAGCAGCATGAGAAGCAAAAGCACCAGAAAGAGCAAGAGGAGCAGCAACAGCAGTAACAACGGCACCGGCAACTGTCGCTGCAGGGAGCGCTGCAGCACCACGGGCAGTTCAAAGTTCGACCGTCTGCGGCACCGCGCACACCTTCTAACTCAAGCGTTTGCTGCATGATGGTGATATAAATACCTATAAATGCCCTCAGCTTCTTTTCGACTTCTTCAGCCAGCTGAGGAGCATCGCCGAGGCGCAGGTAGATCAATGACAAAGGAGAAGCGGCGTGCGGTTGAAGACGCAAGTCAGACCGGTCCCTACCTTCTGCAAAGCCACTAACGTAAATGCACCCACCGCGGCCCCCACCGCTGCTGCTACTGATACTGCTGCAACAGCTGCTGCTGCTCTTGCTGTTGCTCTTGCTGTTGCTGCTGCTGTTCTGAGACAGCTGGCTCTTGGGAAGATCTCCCGCGCTCGGTTGGCTTTCATGCGCTTCAGGCCGACCCCTCTGCAGCAGTTTCTCTTGCGCCCCACTGCCCTCCAGAAATGAAGAGCTATGTGGGTAGTCCCACTGCTGCAGCTCAAACCGGCTGATGTGGTTTGTGCTGCTGCTGCAGCTGCTGCTGCTAGTGCTCCTATCTGTAGACGGGGAAGAGCGTAAGGAAGAGAGGGCAGTAGTCAGGTCTCCTCCCTTTCTGTAGTCTGCCCCACCTTGAAGCCAGATCGGCGCTGCTGCTGCTGGTGCTGCTGGGAGAGTCTTCTCGTGTCTCTGCAGCTTCCCGTTGCTGGAGAGGGGGTGGGCTTGTTGAGGTGCCTTGCGGGCCCCCAACTGTTGGCTCTCCATAGACGTACGAGTTGCTTTAGAAGAAGACGAGTCATGTGGAAGGCGCATCATTAATATCGTGTGGACAATGCAGCGGAGAGAAGCCCCAAGAAGCGGGAGGGGCACATGAACCGAATCTAACGGCATCTCAACGCAGTTTGTCTGCATTGTACGGAGTATGTTTAAGCAGTTCTTAAACAACGGCACCCCAAATAAGTAAGAGGCTCAAATAATAAGTATAAAACATCACTTTCTAAGACTCGGGTGGGTTGGTTAGGGGGGCCCAAGGCGCAGCTCAGGGTCACCCAGAGGACCCCTAACGAGCTGCAGCGCGGGGCTGTTGTGTGCTGTTGCGCTGAATACATTTCGAAGTAAAGCTGCAGAAATTTCATTTGTGCTTCTATAGAGAGAACGCGACACTCAGCATTCAAAAATTTCCCTAGATTCATGGGGCTTTTAGTCGCTTCACCGGTCTGACCACTGGCCTGAGAAGGTCGCGAGGGGCTGTTGTACGAGCAATAGCACTGATCGTCTTATTTCCCTCGGTTCTTCCTTTAGTAAAAGCGCCAATAAAGAGCTGAATCAAAGGGTGACGCAGAGGCCGGATGCTGTGCTACAACCACGGGAGCCTTCTCTCCTCCGTGCTTTTCATGATGGCAAGACGCACACGCACATTCACCCTACTCCGCCAGCCTCTGTGCATATATACATGCAAATAGGTGCTTCAAAAAGAGGAGGGAGGCGTCGGGCAAGCGGGAATACTAGTAACGTGAGACGAGTTTACACGTGGATTCAGACGGGGAGGCGGCAGACGCACGCAGGTTTCAACTTTCTTAAGAGCTGACTGTCCATATTGTTTTAATGAGTTTTCAATGACTGAGTAACACCAACGAGAAGCGCAAGACTACGACCCAGGCCGCTCCTCTCCTGCTCCTGGTGGTGCCCGAGGCAGCCACAGGAAAAACAGACTATTAGAGAGGAATCCCCTCATATTTACTTCGGCGCATCTCGCGCTTCGTTTTGTCCGGTACAAGTTCCCCTGCATGCCCTTCTCACGCATCCGTCTGTTTCATCGCTGGGCTAGGGGCTGTGATGGTACTCAGTGCTTAGAGATGAAGCGGAGAGGCAGAGGCAGAATCAGAAAAGCTAATTTAGTGGGTGATGTCTAGGGATCAAGTGGAGCTAGCTGTAGCGACGTCGCTTTCTCGTGTCTCTAGCTCGGGAAACTTAGCCTTGTGCGAGCTAGCACGCCCTATTGAGAAGGCTGGTGACGCAACACAGAGGCTAAAAATGGTTTTAATAGGTCTTCATCTTTGCATCTGCAAAAGCTAAAGGTGGCACCCTCCTCTCTTTGAGGGGGCTCTCGGGCCTACTTCGGGCCCTAACGGGTGTTGCAACTAAAAGAAATGGCTTCTGAATGTGCACTACTACCGGAGCCGCAGCAAGCAGCGTACAGGTTGCACTAGCGCCTGAGATTGGGCTTTGCATCCAGACGGGTTTATCCCCTGCTAAGCGTGCTCTGTCAGTTCTTACAACTTCTATCCGCTTTGCGGTAGTCCACGTATGCTTCCAAGTCCATTGAAAGCACCTGCATTTCGCACAAAGGCCTAGAAGACGAACAATGTTGCAGCTAACTTGGCAGCGGCCCAGCTCTAAGTAGCGGTGAACACTGACACACACGCGACGGGAATAGATGAAATACAAGGGTAGGGGGGGCCTGCTGCCCTTACCGGGGTGGCATCAATGACGGGTTGCTTCTCGCAGTAAACCGATTCCCGTACGTACACTGCGCAGGTGCTGGAAGGGAGGTAAACTCTCACAGAATGGGGGCGGCTATCTTTAGCTTCTGTTGCTGGGTGCTGCGTTCTTGGGGTGAGCCGTCCGAACCCTCCAAATCGCTTTTCGTCACTGTCCAGGAAGAGCCGCATGGGCTCGTTGTACATACACCCCACGTGGAAGCCCTCGTAACTCTGTAGGTGCATGCGCATACAGAGTAGCAGATCACGAACGTCACCAAGGAGCTTAGTGCCTTCATAGGGGACAGTAAGGAGCCTAACGGGCTAGACGAGCCCACGCATATCGGTGCAAAGGGCAGATCTGCAGCAGCTGCTGCAGTATGGTCTCTTGAGAGTCCCAGCACCCAGCCGGTGCTTCTCACGTTGTGGGGGTGGAAGTTGAACGCAAATAGACACTGTCCCCGCTCTAAGACAACCACCTGGGCCTCTTCATCGCACTTCACAACGTAGAGGTGAGCGGCAGACTGCCAACCGAAGACACCTTCCCAGTGGTTGAGGCAGCAATCAAAAAGCTGCAATACACTCCAAAAGGCTCATATGGCATTGCAGCTACCATCAAGATACCATCAAGATGAAAACAATGGAAGGAAGGACGAGCATAGTAGCAAAGCACCGCCCTCCGTTTGCTGTCCTATCCTGTGTACTTTATGCTGGAGGTCTGTTCGTGTTCGGCTGTGTGTGTGTGTGTCTTGTGCAAGGTAAGAGGGATGGGTTAAGGGTACAGCAGCATAGCTGGATAGAGAAAGATAATACGAGACTGCCTGACCTCGCACTGGGTGAATTTAAGGGAGGGGCTGTCCGCCAGGTTCCACCGTCTAAAGGCCTTCGCCATAGAAAAATGATTCGCGGGTCGCGGCAAGTCCAGCCCGTCAGGGTGCGCGAGCTCATTCCCCATGAAGTTCATGCGCCCGTCTGCTAAGCCAGATCCCAGCAAGCGATACATCCGCCACAATGCCAAACCACTCAGCACGTGCGGGTCGCAGTCCTCCACGGACATGTGCTCGTACATCGCCTGAAGAGATAGAAACAGAGCCAGAAACAGAGATAGCGAGAAAGACGTGCCAATAACGCTAATATACAGTACCAAGCAGACAAATACACACCACCGGAAAGAAATAGCATGGAGGGACTGCGGAACGAGCATATGCGGCCTAGAGAGGCCTGAGAAGAGTAATAAGAGACAATCAAACTGCCACCGCATCCCCGGGACCTTCAGAGAGAGGCCCATCGACGTATTAGCCAGCGGAACAACTGTAGAGGCAGCCACCAAGAAGGGCCACGCGAAGCAAGCAAGACAATGTTCTCCTCACTGGGCCTATGAGAGCGAAGGCAAGCGTGTCGTCCCCTTCGCTGCTGTAACTCCAGTTCGGGGGAGTGTCGTGCTTGTTGCGCTGCTCATAATAAATTTCCCGTGTCTGCTGCGCAATGGAGTCCCAGCTGAAGCTGAAGGCGGCTGTCACGCGGCCTCGAGACCCCATCCACCGCGCATGCTCAAAGTTCTTTAGGATCTCGCAGCAGCCCCAGGCGATGCTCCCAGGTGTGGGGTCCTGCGGTGCAAAGACAGCCGGAGACAGGGGACAGAGAGAGAGGCGAGGAGAGATACATCCAGGACACCAAACACAAAGAGGTGCATGAGGATGAATACTACATCATTGCTTGAAGACTGGGACAGACGGCTGGGGCCTCAAACTGTCCCTTGCCTCCCCGACCAGGCAAGGTGCCAGGCTCTTTCCTCTATGTGTTATCGCCTCCCTTTCTGGTTTCCGGCTGGATTTTATTTGTGTGGATGCAAAAGTGTTTCTTTTCCCTAATGGCTCTGCGCGTTCCCCCCTCTCTCGCTACCTCGAGACAACCGGAGGTGACCAGAAGAGAAACCCAAGGGAAAGAAAAGAAAGGGGAGACGACGGTGGTGAGGTCACTGACCACAAGAACGCCCGTGATGTTTGGATTGACAAAGTCCCTTGGGCCCCCGCTATTCGTCGCTACGACGGGCTTGGAGGCACTCCAAGCCTCGAGTACCACTATGCCGAATGGTTCGTTTCTTGAGGGCACGACCACGGCGTCGCAGGACTTGAAAAGTGCATGCAAAGCCCCGCCCCCCATCTTCCCCACAAACCGCACTGAAGAAGCAAAGAGAGACACACGAGGAGACAGGCCGCTTACAGGACACTCTTGAGCGAATAAGCAGCACACAACAAAAGGACCCGCAAAACAAGGCCAGGCTGAAGGGGGACAGAGACTGCTCAGACACATAGGCAGAGCTTTGCAGCAAGAAAGAGATAGGGTCAGAGGGCAGAGGGTTCCAGCGAAGATGCAAACTTGTTGTGCAAGAATACCTGAATGGGTGACGCCGAGCTGAGCTGCGCGGCCCTTCAGACTCTCCATCATGTGGCCGTCCCCCACAAAGACGAACTTCGCGTCCCCTCGGAACTTGTGAATAAAGGGAACCGCCTCCAGCAGGAGATCAGGTCCTTTCTGAACGACCATTCTGCCTGCACGCCGAAACACTAGGCAAGGTTCAACTGGTAGCCCAAGAGCAGTAGTAGCAACAGCAGCAGCAGCAGCAACCGCACCAACAAACGGCAGCGAGGAGACTGGCTGGGGCCCCGGATGCTTTGTCTAACGGAAGCTAGCGCTGAACGTGGGGCTGTTACTGTATTCTGATTACTCTCCAGCTCTGAATGAGATACATGGAAGGACTGAAAACAAGTGTAGTGAGTGTGTAAAGGCTCTTCGTACCCACGAACAAGAACATGGGGTCAAGAGCCCCCACTCCGTATGTGTGCTTGACCGCGCCAGGGTCTACCTCGCCATCGAATTTGTTGCAGTTGATGCCGTTATAAATGACTGTCATCTTTGCTGGATGCACTCCGTACTGAGCCCTTACCTCCTCCGCCAGCACTCCGCTCACGCATATTACGCGGTCAGCCAGGTGGCACGCTTCAGCTACAGGGTGGGACATACCACAGCAGAAGAACAAGACAAAACAGATACTGTTCTGCCTTCATGAAGACAGCCACAAGCACCCCAAATTTGCCCCTCCCTCCCTCTATTTGCACTCAAACAAATACGCATACACATGAGTACACATAGCACCACCGAGACGGGGACTGCATGTAAAACCAAACACACAGTCTACCCCTTCATGATGGCTGACCTTCGATGTCCCGAATGCGTTTGGAGACGCCGCCGTAGTTGTTGTTGCCACAACGGCCAAACTCCGTGGAGTGCATCGTTAAAATGGCAGTCCTCCCCTGCAGGCACAACATCCATGTTGTACATATACCCCAAGAATAGGCCAAACCAGCTCCGCAACCGGCAAGGAGGCCTGTTGTTTGTTGAACAAGCCTGGTGTCTCGCCTCAGCTTTTGGTGGAATGTTGCAGGTTCCGCTCCTGCAAAAATGAGTGTTCCCTGGGTGTCCATACACCTAGTTGGGAGAACTAAAGACTTGCCATTTGCTTGGCTCTAATGAGGGCCCTGCCTGCGAGCCAGTCGTGCGCGTGGCAGATTTCGAATTCCGTGCCCATTGCCTCCTCTACGCTCAGCATGCATGCAATGAAGCTTTCGCACATGTTTTGAATCTCCACCACGAAATCTCTATCCAAATCAAATGTGCATTCGTGGTACATCACGCCGTAGTGCTCCGAGCAGCCGCCGCAGGACTCCATGGCCCGAACAAACACATGCACCTCGTGGCCCTGTCGCGATAGCCCCGCTGCAAGCTCGGTCACGTGAGGAGCTACACCTCCAACAGCGTGTGTGTGCAACGACTCCCAAGCAAACAAGGCGATCTTTAAACGCCTGCAGCACCAACAGCAGCCTAGCCATAGCGAGTGGTAACAGCACGAGCACCAGCAACGGAGGCAGATGGAATGTTCATATATTTTCAAGCCATGCAGACAGGTAGAAGGGCTTGTAAGGTCTCTAGGCACAAATGCTCATCCATAGCTAACTAACGAGCAAGCTAGTTAAGCAGTTCGCTACAAGGGCAGCCTGACATCTGGCAAGGCAAGTAGATCAACAACTGTTTCCACAGGAACTGTATTCATAAATGGACAGGCTAGCAGCTTATTAAGCAACTAGACAGTCACGAAAGGCAAAAGAGGAATGAATAGGCAGCTGCACAAACAAGCCTCTAAGAAGCGATGCCTGGGATACGGATGCTCTGCGCACCTCCTACAGAATCTAGTGGTGTCAGCGTCTTCAACGGAGACGAGTACTTTTTCGGTGTTTGGTTTGCTGGCGAGGGCCCACAGAACTTGCGCAGTCATCCAGCGCCCCTGGCGGTGCCCTGATTGGCGGATGAGACGGCGGAGGCTTTGGTTGAGGGAGCTGTCGAGCCGGTAGTCGAAGCCCAGCCCTCCCTGGGATATGGGCCTGCAGAGAGTGGGGTAGCCTGTGCATTCCTGCGCTATGGAGAGGCGCTGGTCGGCTGGCAGCAGCGAAGAGAGCAGAGAGTTCGCGAGAGACAGGTACAACACGCCAGAGGCGCACAAGTCCCGGCTCAAATACGCCGAATAGTCGTACAAGTCCGGCTGACGCAGCACGCTGCGCTGGTCATACAGCATCCAAGGCACGCCTTCCAGGCGGAAGCCGTCGAGCCTGTGGGGAGCATCACCAGCAAGCAAAGTGCCGCGCAAGAGCCATGCGGCAGAGACACGAGAGACAGCTACTACTTTCCCCTTGACCTGTGCACGCAGAGGAGACTGGTGGGAGGAGACAGCAAGCAGGTTCCATGCCCAGACCCTCGGCGCTGGGCAAAATAAGCCACGCCTGTGCACACTCTGACGGTCATTGAGTCGATGCAGCAGCGGAGACAGCGACGCAGAAGAGGCAGCTGAGCCAGAGAAAGAGAATAAGAAACGCCAAAAGGGCCAACAACTCACTGGAATTCAGTAATCCAATACGTAATGTTCGAGAGGAGAAAGCGGACAACTTCCGTCTTTGAAAAGTCAAAGACCTTGGCCTCCTCTACAACTCCTGAAGGCCCACTGACGAAGTAGTTGTTGTCTCCGCCGTCTATACATCCCAGGCCGTCCATTACATTCTTGGAGGAGTGAGCGTGACAAAGACTTATCAACACCCGCAAACCCAGCGCATGTGCTTTGTCTATGAGGGCTTTGAACTCCTCTACTGTCCCCAGCCGGCTGCAGACGGCAAAGTGGTTCGTCACGTACAGCCCAAAGCTCGCGAAGTCTGCATGCTCCACCACGTCCAGAAGCTGCCCATACACCACAGAACGAGGGACACAGTCATGTTACTCAAAACAAATACCAAGCCTCCCGTGCAGACAGACAGGGGCAGATAAGTGCAAGGGATTGCAACGGCTTTCGCATGTGCAGTTCAGAAGGAGCAGCAGAGAATACCGTCACTTTGGAGCTTGGGTGTTTGGCCTTCCATCATAGCACAGATGACTGGATGGGCCGCAAGCATGGGCCACCCGCCCCAGCAGTAGCAGCAGCAGCGGGAGTTTCAGCAGCAACAGCAACACCACCAGCAAAAACATCACAACGCAAAAGCATCACACCGCGACCAGCACCAAGAGAGAGTGACAGCAGCAGCGGCAAGAGTTGCACCAGCAGCAGTACAGAGACCGACAAATGTCTGTCATTTCGTTAGCCCACTAGTAAAGTGTTGTATCCCAAGTTCTTGATGCGCGGCAGGAGCGTCTCTGTAAACTCTATGAAGGTACCGACCCGCCCCTCCTCCCCACTGGAGCTGCCAATGTGCGCCTCATAGATAGCGGGAGCGACGTCTGCTGGCACTCGAGGCCTTGGAAAGCGGAAGACATGCCGTTCCTGTGGCAAGCAACAAAGCCACCGCAGCAGCCCCTCACCCTTTCCCGCACACACGTATTATATATGGGGGGAACAGCGATAAGAGCAACAAAAGCACCGCCCTCACGCACAGCGCTAAACATTAAATCCAAATATCCGCTCCAGCAAACGTTCAATACAGAACGTACAGCAGCCCGAGGGGCTGATTTCATTCATCCGTACGAGATCGCACGCCAGCAGCCCTTTTAGGCACTGCAAGGGACTTCAATAAAGGTGAAAGGCAATATACACGGACTGGAGGGATGCATAACTCTCCCTAAACGGGAGATGCAGCAGCAACAGCTGCAGCAGCAACAGCTGCAGCAGCAACAGCTGCAGTAGCAACAGCTGCAGCAGCAACAGCTGCAGCAGCAACAGCTGCAGCAGCAACAGCTGCAGC